GGAGGAACTAGAAATTATACACACGGATGTGTGTCAAATAGAACATGAATCGTATTGTAAAGAAAAGTACTTTGTCTCATTTTTAGACGACTATACTCATTATTGTGAAGTTTATCCTTTTGAAAAGAAGTCGGATGTGGTAGAAATAGTCAAGAAATTTATCAACAAGGTGGAAACACAAAAGGGTAAGAAAGTTAAAGTTCTGAAATGCGATAATGGTACAGAATTTCTGCGATTAAAAGATTGGTGTGCGAACAAAGGAATTGTTATAAATTGGACCACTCCGTACAGTCCACAGCTTAATGGAAAAGCGGAACGTCTAAATCGTACATTGTGCGAAAAAATGCGTGCACTGTTGTTTGACGCTGAAATTGAAAAGACGTTCTGGAATGAAGCATTAAGAGTAGCTTGTTATGTAACAAATAGGTCACCATCATCAGCGATAATTGGTAAAACTCCAATTGAGGCCTGGACAGGCGTTAGACCAAATTTGAAGAATTTACAAATTTTTGGTAGTGACGTGTATGTAAAGGTTTTGCCGAGTACAAAGAAATTGGAATCAAAATCGGTAAAATTGAAATTGGTTGGTTATTCAGCAATTGGATATCGTTGCTGGGATGAAAACAAACAAAGAATTGTAATCTCACGAGATGTACAATTTGTAAAAGAAACAAAATCATCTGAAGATGTTTCTCAGATTGTTAGAGAACCACAAATTGTTAATTTGGATTTGCTGGAACAAGAACGTAATGGTGATGCTGATGAGTCGTATAATGATATGCTGTTGCCAGAATATCAGAATGACAGTGACGAAAATCATTTTAATTCTGATATCATGGACAACACGGATTCTGAAGAAGGAAATAATGCAGATCTGAACAGAAAGGGCCTTCTAGGACTAAGAGATCGAACTCGTCTGGGACGACCAGCATATTTTAATGATTACGTTATGTTAACATACACTGACGTAATGAAAAGTGTAGATAAAGAGCTTTGGGAGAAAGCGATAAATGAGGAAAAAATGTCTATTGCGAAAAACAAAACCTGGATTCTTGTAAAAACCGAAGAAGCGAAAGGCACAAAAATTTTGAATAGCAAATGGATATTCAAAGGAAAAGAAAATGGAACCAGGAAAGCTAGACTAGTTGTAAGAGGTTTTCAACAAGAAAGAGGAATAGATTTTCAAGAAACATATAGTCCTGTGGTAAATATGACAAGTTTGCGAGTACTTCTTACTATCGTCTGCTGCTGCTAAAGAATTTAAAATAAGAATCTTTGATGTAAAAACAGCGTTTCTTCATGGGGAACTGAAAGACGAAACATTCATGCAAATTCCGGAAGGTTATCCAAAGAAGGAAGGAATGATATGTAAGTTACAGAGAAGTTTATATGGGTTAAGACAATCACCGTTATTGTGGAATCAAACTTTGACGAAGAGGCTCAACAAAATTGGACTGAAACCACTAAAATGCGATAGTTGTATTTTTAAAAATGAATCAAATACTGTCTATCTTGCTGTATACGTGGACGACGGAATAATTGTGGGGAAGAATTTGCAAGAGGTAGATGAAATTTTGAACAATATCAAAAAGATGTTCGAAATTACAGTAGATCATTCAGCAGGAACATTCATAGGAATGGAAATTTCACAAGAAACGAATGGAATTCGTTTATCACAGTCTTTGTTCTGCGAACAAGTAGCAGAAAAATTTGGTTTGACTAATGCTAAGGATTCGGAAATACCAATCATGACAAAAGATGAGACTGATCGAAATTTAAAAGGTATTTTCCCATATCGTGAAGCAGTAGGAAGCCTGCTCTACCTCAGTTCAAAAACACGTCCGGACATCAGTTTTGCTGTTGGAAAGGAATCTCGATACCTGGAAAATCCATCAGACTCGGATGTAAAAAATGTAAAACGTACAATAAAATATTTGAAAGGAACCAAACATTTAGGTTTGTTCTTCAAAAAGAATGGAAATTTGAATGAGATGGTAGTGTACACGGATAGCGATTATGCTAATGATCTAGAAAGTAGACGTAGTACTACTGGATATGTATGTTTCCTTAATGGAACACCAATAAGCTGGTGTTCAAGACGGCAACCCATCGTAGCACTCTCATCTATGGAAGCTGAATTCATAAGTGCAGCTGAAGCTCTGAAGGAAGTTTTATTTTTGAAAGCCTTGATTGAAGAGTTGATAGGCGAAAATTTAAAAATTAAATTTCAAATTGATAACACGAGCACAATCGCACTAATAAAAAATGGGAAGTTTAATCAGCGCAGCAAACACATTGATGTGCGGTATTATTTCATTTGTGAAAAATTAAGTGAAGGTGTATTTGATTTGATACATTGTCCCACCGAATATCAAATAGCCGCGACATACTTACTAAGCCATTATTGCCAATTAAATTTAAACGGTTTAGGGATGTGTTAATGAACTGAAAGTGATGAACATTGTTGTGCAAAGTTTGAGGGAAGGTGTTGAAAAGTGTTCTGTACAAACTTTGTATAAAGTATCAAGGAGTGAATGTTATAAAATAATTGAAGTAGTTGTATTCTATAAATAAATTAAAAAGCTTGTCAATATTATTCAATATCTTTGATTTTGAGTATGGTTGTATCAAGATAAGATCCAGAGTACAATTTTCACACTTTGACAGTTGGATATTTGTACTGGCATAACAAAGACTGACACAAAACCAATATTCGGTCACTACATGTCAGGGATCGACTAAACGAATTGATTAGCAATATCGACAAGTTGGCTCTTTTCAAAGACACAAAAAAAAACAGTACATAAAACATATATCTCTGCGTATGTCAGTTCTGAACTTTAGCCAGCCTCTGCTACGTCAAATCGAGATATTAAATATCGGTATCAAATATAGCACAGTACATATTCGAAACAAGTCACCCTGCCAAATATTAATAATCATAATCACCCGGTTCAAAGAAATAGTAGGAGCATAACGTTAAGTATCACATTACAACAAAACAAAAGAACATGTCGTGGCAAAACATTAGTATCAAGTAATTAATTCTCAATGCCAAGTGCAATATGTAACAATCAACCACCTAACGTACGTCACTCGCCCCCAGATGAAGCACCCTGTAAATAAACAGGACTTTGTATGAGGTGTAATAACGACGGACTTCGGTAAATTTAAAAACATATATTTATGCAATGTGCTGCAATAAATTCAGTCATAAATTAAAATGTAGTTCTGCATACTTGTATTGAATATCATCCCTAAGAGAACATACTGTATCTAAATATAATTAAAATCACGTAAATCGGTCAGTAATTCATATTGTGAGTTGGCGGGCAAAACCAGCGCTTGGAATAAAGGAGTACCTACTGATGTAAATTGGAAAACAACATACTTACGTAGAATCTCTACGCATTTAATTCAAAGTATAACCAAAAAGGGCAATTTGTATTTAGAATGGGTTATAAATGGCAATAATCACGCTGTACGAGAATACCATTAAATTAAATCTAACACAATCATATCATTACTATGATGGTTGCAATAGACGTAGAGATAAAAAAACGAGTACGGCACCTTTGTAATTGTCGAAGCTGCACTCACTATTCGAAACGTAAAAATTTACTTCTGCCATCAACAAAAGCACAAATACCTCTGCCTGAATCTTCTCTTTTTAAGCAAATCCTCGTTAATATCAACCGTGCTCCGAGACGTCGGCGTCGGGTCGATAGGGATCATTAAGTTTCCTCGCATAGCGTTATATTTAACACTTTTATTGTAAATTATGGCCCATTTCAATGTAGAGCAGAGGCAAAAAAACACGTGTTCCACGGAAACGAACAAAGCGCAATCTTGATTACTGACTATTGTAAATAAACAAAATGTAGGTATATCTACAGCGTGTTTGAGATAAGAGGGTCACCTCAATATATCTTTATATTTGGCGAGAATCGAAAAATTTGTTTAATATAATTTTATATGTGACATTATGCTCTATCTGATGCCATATTCAAACTTCCGGTTTAACCGGACATTGATGCAACTTTTCTTTTTCAACTGCGATGCTTATGTTTTTTTATGATATTTGACGTTGTAGACAAAATAAAATATGCATATGATTGATATACAAAAAATTCAATATTTAAAAAATTTATGAATTCTTGGTTCCAGGTATCGTTAATGTGTTGTACAAAGGGTATATTGTAAATATGGAGGGCGAAGTATATGTACATTTTCCTGTCATATATTCCAAATGTTAAGGTTCTGCATACGCCGATTATGACAGGTAAAAAATAAAATTAAAATATTTTTTTTCACGTTTTCAAATTTTATTTTATTTTTTGTTTATTTAATTTTTTATTTTATTAATATTTAGTTTTTTAAATAATTGTATTTCATTTTTTTATATTAATTTATTTTAATTGCAATATACGAGGGTCGTTTTCTTTTCAACCTTCCTTAGTAGTTGGAAAGTGCTAACCTTCTAGCATTGAATAGCGAAATCAGACTTCTAGCCATTTCTTCAATTTAGGAAAAAGATGAAAATCACTTGGTTCGGTCAAAAATGTCCCATTGAAATTGTTTAAGAACTTGTTTCAACAGGATATTTTTGACCACCTACAATTTTTTTCCTGAACAGAAGATATGGCTAGAAGGTCGGCACTTTCCAAGACAGAGGAACTTCAATTCACTGGCGCCATTTTATGAAGAGGGTTTTGGAAAGCTTCTCCACAGGCATGACAAACGCCTTGACCTTCAAGACAAAGAGAAGCAAACATAAGTGTACCCAAATTTTGATAATTTTTTTGTATTCGATTGTCTTTCATTTATGGCCCAACGGAGATTAAAAACGGCCCTCGTCTTTGGCGAGACAACAAAAAATTGCTTGTGTGGATGTTATTTTCGTCTTTAAAAAACTCTCGGCGACAAATATTGTTTTGGTTCTCTTTACAACTCTAGAGCTAGACTCTAGGAGTCTTAGAATGTTTGTTACATCACTCCAAAAAAGTAAATAACTTTATTCACATAAATGTTACACACAATGTATAAATAACACAAAACAAAAATTGATCTGCGCTACTGGACATTAAACACAGTATAATTAATGATCATTAAATAATGAAGTAATAAAATTATATAAAAAAATTTGTACTATCAAAGCATAAATACGGCGTTATCAAAATGTTAGAGCCATTACCAGGTTGCTTAAAACATTTAATAACAATTAAAATAAAATCTGTAGTCACTGATATGAGAAGTTACGACAGTTATACAATTTTGGACGATCTCATTTTGTCCTAGAAACCATTGTCTCGCTAAGCTACCTGCCTACTTTGTTTGAGTTAAATCCTGATCAGTCTTAAAATTATCGGTCACCAGCTTTCCATCCTCGTAACTATTTAATTCCTTTGCGCATTCCTGCATTAGTAACATATGGTCCAATTTGTCGACGGTGTGCTTCAGCTCGGACTCCCACATTTCATCAGTACTCTTCCCCTCGCCACCGTCGATCGGCCTTATTGCAAGTTCCTTCACTTTCAGTTTTAGCTCATCCAAATATTCATCGTCCAAATCTTCGTCCTCGTCCTTTTCGCTAACTGCCGAACTGGCGGTGCCACTTATTGAACCCATACTGTGCACTTCGCATTTATCCAATTCCGAATTAAAATCGAGCGATTGAAGTTTCGCGGCAAAATCGATCTGGCCGGAGCTTTCGCATAATTCGGCACCGACGCCAGGTTCCCGCGGCCTCGTCAACAGTTCGTTTTCACATTCTGCAATACCTAAGCTCTTACGTTTCATATGTATTTCGTTGGAAATTTGTTCGAGTTTCTTTAAAGCCTCAGAATAGGAATACTTAGTTTTATTGATCTGTTCTTGCAAACTTTCAATTCGTTCCTTTTGGGTGCCTAATTGTTCTTGGCAGAGAGCTTTCTCATCAAAGTAAGGTCTCGCTTTAATGATATGCCTGCGTAATCGATCTTCTAATTGTTGAACCTAAACATGGAAATGCAAGTAAAAAAACGATCATTTAGGAAAGAGTACTTTATACTTTGCTAGTGTGTTACCTACCGTTGTAACTGAAAAAAGTACATACTGTCTTTGTTTCCAGTCCAGACAAAATTTAGATAGATTTAGATTTTTATTTATTTAATAACAACACAGACAGTCTTATAAACAAAATTCAACAAAATCATTTTCAAAATTCATCAATTTTCAAAAACTACTGAAATAAAATAGGTTTCAGCATCAATTGAGCCAGAGTATTGATCTGGCACTGAGTGAACCAAATAGACAAACGTCACAACAATGAAGTCCATCACGAATGAAATAGCAATAATCTGGAGAGATTAAGACACTGTACCACTGTGGAAAATTTATAGCTCAGAAGTGGGAAGTGTATTTTGGTGTTGCAAGGCGCGATCAAAAATGCTCTGTCCCATACAAATGGAGATGCGACATAGGATACCATACTGTACCAAACAAATTACTTATAAGACATATTTTTATGTAGGTACATGGAACATATAATGTCAAGATAGAGTTCTTAAGCTTTTTAGTTGGAAATACCTGGAGTACCCAGAACGTAAAAGTTCTTTCTGAGCAAGTTTTTTTTTCGGTTTTTAAAGGTCCCAATATAAATATTAATAAATTGATAAAAAAATATAAATTGTTAATATTTTAGGAAAAACATAAAACACAAAATTAAAGAATAATATTATATTGCATAAAAAATATTTTTTAGCTAGTTTTTTAGGTTTGATTTACTATTCTTTTTAGCTTGCGCGTTCGTTTATTTTATATTAAAGTTATGTTGGTAGAAATTAATGTGGCACCGCTAAATACAAGTGAGAATTTTGTGAACGTATAGAGCGATATTAAGACGCCATCAAGTCGATAAAGGATTAGTTAACGGCGATAAGGAATGAAAGCGAATGTGACGTTCTTTCCAGGGAGTATGATATGCTGCCTCTAGAATTGTCTAGATGCTTTTCGTTTGCTATATGACCAAATTGAATTGTGTTTAATGGAAGTTCCAATATCGATGCCGAAGTGATAAATAGTGAAATTCGGACTTGTGTTATAAATTTACATATTGTAAATCAATCTGTTTAAGGACCGTTATGAATTCGTTAATAATAATAACATAAATAAATTACATAATTACATTTACGTTACATTATTCGCCCCCAAGGTAGTTCATGAGCTAAATAAAGCGCTTCACACTAATAATAATGGTGCCAGTATCGGTTCCGATTATATCTTGTTGAACAAGGATTCCAGTTCCAAGTCGAGGGCTTATAAATTTCGGTTCCAACCCCCTCAATAGGAGGGAATCTTCCTTGGGGGCTAAAATTACAGCAGCGAACATTCCAAGAGCGGAATATTGCTTAAAGTTGAATGATGTCATTGGATAACGCATTTTGTATATAACGGCATACAGCAGGGAAATTAACACAATTAATTGGTGCATTTTATCTACAACAAGACCTAGTTAACAAATTGGGCAACATTAATATCAACACAGGGGAACATTGGGCCGTATGAATAAAAGTAAGCAAATGCTTATACTTGCAAAATTCAAAGTAAATACTCATAAGTGCTCCTTCGCACTGGGCGACTTAGCAGCGCTTCTAAGCAGAAGGACAGGACGCAGTGCGGCCCTGCTAAACCATGCTAAACAGACCAGTATGAAGGGGCAGTTACGAGTATTTACTTTGAATTTTGCAAGTATAAGCATTTGCTTACTTTTACTCATACGGGCCATTGGCTTATTATTGTGAATAATCACGATTCATACGAACTTTACTTCCCTCAAACATTGCATTCATCACGAAAATAATGTTACCAGGGTGGTACAAAAATTCACCTGTATCATTGAAGTGCTCTGATTTCATATTTCTAAGGGAAGTGGCCTTTTTCAAGGAGAGATCAGATCAATTGTTACCAGAAGAGAATATTGCCCACGTCAATAACTGTAAGTTATTTTAATTTTTTTTTTTTTATAAAGTAGTGGTCGGTTATTTTTACGAATTTGCACATTAAATTTGTTTGAAGTACGAGTAATTCTAATAATCCTAAAGGAATCGACCCACCAGAATGACATGAAACAGATTTTTATTATATTTATTGTGGATCCAAACAAAGGATTGGGGTTTTGCTTCATTGATTGGGAATTTTGTATTTAACTTTGCTGATACTAGTCCTCTGGTTGGATTATTTTATATCCAGGAACGTGTGAAAAAATTGATCGCCTTTGTTTGTATAAATATGTTTCAATCGAGTAAAGTCATATGGGTATTTGTTTGAGTTCGATCAAATCAGAGCATTAAATTTTGAATTATATGATATGAGATATCATCCGTTAGGTGCGCTCTTAAAAAACTTGAATTTTGCCACCGGTCCCACGTCCCATAATTTTCCGATGTCGGGTAAAGGCGTAATTAATTAAAAACAGTTTATGGACGTTTTGATAAATAGAAAACGCACTATAAAATAAGATCTTTTACCATTTTTCTTAGCATAAGTACGTTAATTTATCGAGCTAATTTTTGCGAACCCGTACCGGATTTAAATCTTTTGCTTTTGCATTTTTCCAAACTACGTTTTGTAAGTACCGAAATTTTGAGCTTTGCCATAAATTTACTTTTGCAACCGTACCGTATAATCTTTTGCATTTTGTGTTTCAACCGTATTTAAATTGGATTTTTCTGTAAATTTTATTTGGCATTTAGACCGTTTAATTTTTGCTTTTGGATTAAATTAAATTCAGTTTTTTCCGTTACTATCCGTTTCACTAATTATAAGGGGGGAATATTGTCCACTTTCTCGCATTTGCTTTTCGCCCGATTTGTGTTTTAATTTGCTGTAATTTTGTTTTAGTTTTCCCGAAGTGATCACCAACATTTACTGAACCCGTCCCATTCCTGGCACCACATCATTACATCATTCTTGCACAACTTTGTTTGAGAAATTTCAAAGCATTTCTCTTTCAATGCCAAAGCACTTCACACACCTCATAAATTGATGTTACGTCTGTTATTATATGAATATGCATGGAACAAACAATCATTAACTTTTTATATTTAGAAAACAACCGCTCTGGGAAAATGCATTGAGAATTTGACATTTGGCAGAATTTCTTCATGGTTATTAATTATCCTTTTTAAATAGAAGTTTAAGTAGTGCAATCTTCGCTTGTACCCCAAAAATGCATATTTCTGATTTCTTTAAAATGAGCCCCAAAAGTAGAATAGAAACATAAAAAAAACAATAGCACCAAGTGAGATGTGTAACATGAAAACCTGTAATTGCAAACGAAATAGAACTTGAAATTTAAATTTACGGTAATTGCTTTTAAACCCAAGGACTGGAAACAATGGAATTATAATTATATAGTAGCTTTCGGTATCAAAAAGCCTCGCTATAAAAACCAAAAATTGTTATGACATTGTATTAACCTTTTGCTCGGCGGCATTAAAGAGCATGGCCCGTTTCTGATGCTCCCGTCCGCTCTCAGCCTTTTCGTTTTCGGCCTCCATCACCTATTAATATTATTTTTATGGTAAGTGCCAATAAACTCGGTCAATTACCTTAATAGTAGCATGATTTAGCATTTCCTGCCATGCGTTATCAAACTGCCATTCGTGCTTATTGCTCATAAATCGTTGCTCGGCTAATGCGACTGTTTCCTTTGCAGCTGCGTGAATTTCTACAAATTTCGGTCAGATTTGATACAACCAAGGGGGCACTTACCGCTTGCTCGTTGAAAGATAACGGCCGCCTTTTGGCATTCGTGTTGTGCCTTTTTGGCAACTTCGAGTGCAGTAAAGTAGGGTCTGACACGGTCGATACAACCACCTAATTTTTTAGAGAGGACTTTTAGTCGTCTAGTCGATTCGTTTAAGATCATTCGAAAGGTTGTGTTTGCCTCCTGTAACAAAGCAAAAGTAAAAACTACACACAAAATTTGAAGCTTACATCGAGTTCGATTTCCAATTTATTTATTTCGTCAGTGGCCGTGTTTAGTTTTTCTAACTCAATTTGTATACGAGGATCGAGATCATTTTCTCCTTCTTCCATGCTCAACGCCCGCACTTTCCGCTCAATTATATTTTAAACTAGGTACCTAAACAACCTCATTATGTATTCAACAATGACGTGAAGCTATTTTTAATATTAAAACCTAAGCAGGTATAAAACGTTTCACATTTAAACGGAAAACACTACATTTACGTTTGCACTTTCTAAATCAGATCTTGTTTTTTATTTCTTCTTTTATAATAATAAACAGCTTACATATTTTAAAAAGGATGTTAAAACTAATAGGAATAATACAAAGCAGTTTAATTAAACGTCATTTTTGTAAACCAATGAATAAATTGCTAGGCTAGTCACGACGCATAATATTTACACCGTCCCACACAAACCACAGAATCTGGTCGTAACGTATGTTTGAGATTGCTTAAATGGTTATGCAGATACGCATGCGCGTTATAATTATTAAATATCACCTTGGCAACTGTGTCTCGTCTACCGCATTGTTTGATATCTTGAAATGTTATCATAAGCTTTATTATGCATATTATTTGCTTAAAGATATTTTGAATGTAAATAAGAATGAATAAGTAGGTCCGTACATAATGCTAAGTAAATAGACAAATCCTTGCGCCAAATATACGGATTTCGCAAGTATTCCTGTTCGTTGATATCTATATATAGGGCAATGTACGGGACACGGGCACCTGCTTACACTATCATAAATCATTTATGCTAAATAATACTAGAATAACGTGAAATAAAACGTTGCACTTTCAAAAGGATATTCAATAAACTTTCTTTACCTATGATGTAAATGGCGATTGATACACATTTAGACAGTATGAGATCATTATTGATCTTTGGATGAGTCAAGTAAAGAAGTGACTACCATCGAGAGACTACTTCTAACCAATGATGCTTTACTTATTACTTATGCCGATACTTACTTCTGTGGATACTTTACCAAGTGGCATTTTCAAATTTTGTTTAGTTCTGTTGTTTTTAGTATTACATACTTTTATACTATTTGCGATTAAAAATGAGTTGCTGTCGAGTCACCTTTGGAATGCCGATAATACAGGGTGTGAATCATCGGTTGATTTTAAGGAGAAAAGTTTATGTCAACATAATGTCCTAAACTTAAAAATAAAATTGTCAGTTCAAACCCCGTACGGACGTCACTGGTAAGAATTTTAAAAAATCTTTACGTCAAAAATGCTTCTTGATGAGGTGTGTACAAAATGTTTCTCCTTAAAATCACCCAAAGATTCGGCGCTCAATTAATTAACACGGTATAAATCAAAGAGGCAAACTAAAAATATCTCGTTGATATACATTGTCAAACAAATAGTTTAATTCTACAGGGTGTTTTATACATATCCGTCAGAAATTGTAAGGCGTGTTCTAGAAAAAAGTCCCGAAAACCCTTGCTAGCTGAAGTAGAACCCTTAAAAGGGGAGGTCTCACACAACATTTTTGCTGATTTCTCGCTTCTCGGATAATTTAATTGGTTCAAATTTTGCGTGTACTCTTTACTAAAGCCGAACTACTACCGTTTGTGCTTATTTTTGTTTAGACACCTAACCAGTCTCTTCAGTGTCAGACCTTGTTCTTGTCCAGACTAAAGGCAACACCTTGGACAACACCCTCCTGTTTCATGTTTACGCCGTGCGAGGAGACGCATAACAGCTGATAAAATAAACTGAACTTGATGGTAGCCGCAATTTCGCTAAAGACGGGAAGTCATGGCTAACCAACCATGATCAATCGGCAGTGCCGTTGGCTCAGACCGACGACTGTGCAGTATGGCGTCTGAATATACAGGGTGACAATTTGAAAACTTATCACCCCCCCCCCCCCATGTCTTAGTAAATAAACGAGATATTTAAAAAAAAACAAAATCCGTTTCGGTAATTCGGAGGGGGAATCACAATGACATAGTTGGCGACGCACCCCCTCCAACCCCCTGCGCCCCAGCCACCCCAACTTTTGAATCTTAAATAGTGATCCCCCATACGTCGTTGGAAAGCTCTGAAAAAATGCTTTGCAACCATACCAAATAGCATTACATTTATTACATTTAGGTTAGTAATTATCGTGCAAATCAAAAAATAAACTAATATGATACATTTGAAATCTGTCGTATTTAAAACGCAACCGGCGAACATAGACGAACTAGACAGAATAATTCAAGAATGTCGAAACTCGAAATATTGCAAAACCAACATTTGAGAAGGTTCGACAAGAGTTTGAGAATAGATTATACTACTGTCTTACCATTACCAATAACGGAAATTATTTTGAACATTTAATAAAAGCCAACTTTAGAAAATGTATTATCACAGACAACATATACTATGTCTGTGGTATTATATTAGTTTATTTTTTGATTTGCATTTGCACGATAATTACTAACCTAAATGTAATGCTATTTGGTATGGTTGGAAAGCATTTTTTCAGAGCTTTCCAACGACATATCACACATGAGGGGGTCACTATTTAAGATTTAAAAGTTGGGGTGGCTGGGACGCAGGGGGTTGGAGGGGGTACACCGCCAACTATGTCATTGTGATTCCTCTTCCGAATTACCGAAATGTATTTTTTTGATTTTTTTAAATATCTCGTTTATTTAGTAAGACATGGGGGGTTGTAAGTTTTCAAATTGCCACTCTGTACGTCTCTTGTTGGGCTCCGTGGTGGGTAGGGTGCTAGAGGGACGAATTTTCACTCTTCTGACATAGGGACTGATTAAAATAATAAAACAGAGGGAGCGTTCCAGCATACTAGGTATAATACATGGTTCCAGGATAGCCCTCAACCTACGAAACAGATCACCGAGCCTCAACCACACATCAAACCACACGTGTCTTCAGCGCTCAGCAGAAGAGGAGAGAGAAGTCCAGGCTATCGCAAATGGGTCCAGCTGGTCCAACAGTCACCTCCAAACCGCACGCAAGGTAGCGATTATTATAGATACAAACCCTCTGGGTAGGCTAACGGTAAAGAATATCGTGCGAGAACAACCATTCCCTAGAGTGGTTAAAGGAGAGGTGGCTGGCAACCTCCCATAATTGTGGGAGGCTGCACACCTAGAAGTAGTGCAGGAAGACTGCCTTCTCGTAAAGGCTGCCATCTGAGCCCCGGGGGAACCTGGCGGCCTGATGGCGGTCAAGCGGCGCTTGGAGGTGTAGCATTTCTCGGCTTTCGTCATTGAGGAAAAGGACCAGACTAACCTAATCGCCAGGGGGTGAAAGCTCAGTTGTGGGGTTTTCTCGACTTTACAGATGAGGGTTAGTAACCTTGCCGAACGTGACGGGGGCAGTACGTCAGTACAACCACCACAACAACACCAGCAGCTACTACAGGGGGCAACGGCCAGGAGCATCACCGTCCAGGTTGCCAAGGCAACCCTGTGGTCAGTGCTTGCTTCAGCCATTGTATATGTATTACCATTGATTATACACGTATAATCAATGGTATTACATACAATACTTCAGCGTTAGCAACTCGCCCGGGCCGATCTCGTACTGAGATGAGTTTGCAAATTTTGAGGCGCTGCTGATGGGACAGATTCTAACCGCGACAGATAAACCATAGACAGGTATTGTTTACATACATCACACACAATTTTTATACAACAAATAAACCGCCAACACTGTAGGGCCGCTGCAGTTAGGTACGTTAGACAGAAGCCTCACTGCAAAGCAAAACATTTCCCTTATTCAAGAACCCTGGGTTGATAAATCAGGGGTTTCTAGTCTTGGGGACGTTTTCTTTGCAGGACAAGGAAAACCTATTTATGTTCCTAGCCACATTAAAGCTCTTCTGCGGCCACACCTGTATGGCCGTGATATTTCGACTATGCAGTTAAGCTGTGACACACAGGGTAAATCTCAACTCATTAAGGGGTATGACTCATATGCTCACTAACCCAGGTTGTTCAGTTTATTCAAAGACGCGCAATATTTTTGACAAAAAGGGAGGAGCCAAAGGTGCCAAATGGTTTGAATAGGCACGCCAGAAGGAAAATGAGGCTTTTTTGGTAGTCGCTTTTGGTGTTTGGCTGGCAGCCAACCGCAATCGAAACTTTTTGGAAAGGCAGTCAGTCTTGATAGTCGTAAAGTTCTTGTAGAAGGAAGTTTAGAGAGATGTTTAAAGAGATCTTAATTCGTCGTGTTAAAAGTAAATGTTATAAGTAATTCCAGTCAGCTGAAACGTAGTTCAACGTTTACGAGGCAGTAGTGTGTATCTATCGAGCAGTTATCGCATATGTGAAGCATTTCTATAAGGCTTTCAAGAACTCAATGAAGTGAAGTTATCCACCTTAAAAAAGCCACATCTACAATTTAAAATTACACCAAATCCAATTTCGTTTAAATCAAGAATCAAGTGGAAATAAAGAAGTGAAGTTTCAGAAGCATCGCCAGTTGGCGTGTGTGTCTTTGTGCGTCAGTTAAAGATAAGCGCAGTAGTGACCGTTTGTTAAAGATTATTAACTTTAAGGTAATTAGAATTTTCTTAATATAATTTGTTTCAATCGATCGCGTTTCGCGTGGTATTTGTTTGTTGCCCTGAGTGCCTTTGTTTCTTAGAGCTTTATGTCGAATTAATTTGTTTAATCTTAAATGATTAGCTTTGGTTTAATCGGGCCCACATTACGGCCTAGATAAGGGTTCTCATATCAAATTTTCTATTCGCACCCAGGATTATATCATTAATAGTAGGTAAGTAAGTTTATTGTTTACCAAGGACGAGAAATGAGTTTTCGCTGACAACTTGGAAGTTTTAAGTAGAAGGCGCCTTTAGACGCCGAGTACGAAAATTTCGACGTGTCAGTGAATCCCACTCGTCCGTGGTGGTAATTCTTTGGAATTGTGGGATCAACGCTGTTGAGTTCTCAAATTAATAAAATTAAAGTCTTAGCGAGATTTTTCGTGGTAGCAGATGCTGGACGTGATTTAAAAAATCTTACAGTCATAGTTGAACGTATCTATGTAATACGTCGCTCCTGCTCAAAGAGGCACTTGTTACGTTCCCAATAAATGAACCAAGACAGAGATCCATATTAGTTCCTGTGCGTCAAAATCGTTTTCTAACGAAGTCTACCAAAATTATCTAAAGAGATACGCGCATAATCACGATTTGGCTCAAATTTGAACATCATTTGGCTAATGAGGCACTTATATCCATCGAGACTTCATGAGCTTGCTATATAACTTTTCAGGGCGAGCGGAGATTTTGTCCGCCTTACAAATAGACGAACAGACCAAGCGCTTGTAATAGGTTATTTTCATTTTTTAAGAATACAGTAGGTACAAGTAAGAACTGTCAATAAAATCATAAATATTTAAGTACCTACCTAATAAAAGGTATGTGTGTGATGGGGGAAGCCACCAGCCACCACAACTTTTTCTATTTATAGTTCTAGATGCAGTTTCCTAAACTGCAAACGTGATCTGCAAAGATGGCAAACTTAAATTAAATTAAAAGTCGCTGAAGAAATGAAAATATAATAAATAAACAAAATATTACAATATGACTTTACAAAAATACAATCCTCCAATACACATTGACGGTTATTGGTCCTTTGTAAGCAGACAATGGTCAGATAATTTACTTTCCCAATATTCACTGGACGTTTCGAGTTCTTCTGTCATGTTGTTCACTTTCTCAATCCAAAAATTTGGTAACATATCTTCATTCTGTAAGAACAACGTACGATAAGCTGTTAACAAAAACCGTACATAAATCTTAACATCAATTGAATAGCAGTCGTTGGCTTCGTCGTCAATTCCATGCTGAAAGTGGACGATTTCATCACTGATGGCGTGACATCCTCCACGCAACCTCGTCTGATGGCGCAGCGTTTCTATCTCTCTGAAAATGTCCGAATAGACACTATCGTTAGCATTACAGACATACCTAAGAACCGTTTCGTATTTTTTGTACAATTCGGAATAAGCGCTCCTAAAGTAGTCAATCTCTTCCACACACGCTTGATTTTTGGCAACCAATTCGGTACGTATTTTTTGCAAGAGTTGAATCTCGCGAAAATATTGATTAACACGGAACTCGTTCGACTTGTTTCGATGGCTGTAAGTGGCGGCCGCCTGCTTAACTTCGCATAATTCCATGTAGAGCGCTTCGTTCTAAACACAAAATGGAGCAAATAATTTTCCTGGAATCTTTGACATACCTTCGCTTTAAGCAAGTTGAGCTGTTTGAAGACATTTTCCAGCTCGGCTTGTAATGTAAGAACCTGTTGTTCGCCGGCGTTGAGTCGATTCATTTGCACTTTCACCTTGGTAATTTCCTCGTTTTTCATCTGCAATTCTTTTTTAAGATCACTACCATCCGCTTGCAATTGACCAATGGAAGTGTTTAGATTTGTTACGTCGCTTTGGGCAGATTGCAATTTTTCCTTCAAGTTTTCGTATAATTGCGTGTATTCCTCCACGCGTGTTTGGCTAAACTTGTAGTCTTCCCTTAGCTTTTCACATGCTTCCTCGGCTACTGTAAGTTGCTCTTTGAGTTCTGCCACAGTGCTTTGCAAAACAGAGACCTCATTTTCGTATTGGGCCTTGTTTTCTAAAAGCGTTCTCCTAGCCTCAGACAGTAACTCGTTTTGCTCTTGATACTCAGTTTCTAGTCGAGTATGCTGATCCACCTTTTGGTGCAGTAGTTCCCTTATGACTATTAATTTATCTTTTAATTTGATCAATTCCCCTTTGCATTTTCCTTGCTGACAGTGTTCCGTGAGTTCTTCGTTCAGTAATTTACTGTTTTCGTATAGGCTTACTTGCTTAAGCAGTTGAGATACTTTCTTTTTCAGTTGTATGTTTTGAGAATCGACATCGGATATCCTTCTCTGATTTTTGGCCATTAATATTTCATACTTCTCTTGGAGTTCTCTTTCTAAATTTTGAAAATGATCTTCATTGCAAATAAGTAGATCGTTAGCGGTGTACTCCACGTTCTATAATCAGTATATATAAAAATATTAGACGCCTCTGTTTATTAATTTTGCAATTTACAAACCATAAATTGTCGAAAAGTCTCGCATGGATGCTTGGACTCTATAAATCTACCGTTCAAAGTATCATACCCTTTACCAGCATCCTATAACACACAAAAATAATTTCACTTCTTTCAATTGAATCGAATCTAAAGGGGAGTGGCTTTGATTCATTTTTAATGTTTGGCCCAGAGTTACCGAACCCACTATACAGTGGTGTCCCAGATCGCGTGGGATTGCATGGGTAACTTTGTTATTATTAAAGATAGAGAATTGGGTAAATGGGCAATGTTTTGCAGTTTTGGATGCTTATTTAAAATTCCCTTATGGAAATTCAAAATGTCGCATAGGTTCGACGTAAATTCAAAAAAACTAAAATTGGTCATTTCCTTGAATGTCTTATATCATCGAAAGTATAAGAGATATAAAAAAAAAGTTTTATACAAGGTGGCGCAAAAAGAACGCATGGATTTGAGTAACGTAGTACCAGTGGAGGGGAGTGACCGCCGAGCGACGCCATTTTGTTGGTTGGAGCGTCCAGTTTTAGTAGCAATGGAGCAGTGGAACGTGCAGCATCGAGTGTTCGCTGTTGAACACTATTTCAAATCAAATGAATATGTCATCACTGTTCAACGAAAATTTCGTTTACAGTTTAATGTCGCGCGTAATGGTTCGGTACCTGATCGCAACACGATACTTCGTTGGGTTAACTCGTTTCGTACAACAGGATCAGTGTTGAAGAGTAAATCGACTGGTTGCCCTGTATCACAAGACACTTTGAACAAAGTTATGGAAAACTTTGAAGAGAGACTTGTAATGTGTATTCATGCAGGAGGACGCCATCTTTCCGATGTTATTTTTAAAAATTAGTTAAGTGTTTTATAATTATTAACACCCAACTCTCAAATTGGGTTATTTGATGATTGTTTTGGTGTAATTAAAATTTTGGTGTGATTAAAATTAACCAACTTATAGCCATTTAAAATCCATGCGTTTTTGCGCCACCCTGTATAAAAGTGACTGTTTTTTGATACGCTTAATTTAGAATTGATGTCAAAAAAAATTTAAGAAGGCCACTTTTGAGGAACATTTACCAACTTCCTAAAGTTAAATGGGCGCCATATTGGATTTTTAGATTACTTGATAGATTTTTTAATTCTCTTTTCAACGAGCCATCATAACATAAGATTGAAAATAAGATACCAATTATATTAACGGTTTTTGTATTTTAATCAAGTAGTCTGTGACGAATAAAAAAAACAAAACAAAATCTATTCGAGGCAACAAAACAATGAAAATAATTACACCAGATGTTTAAAATACTGGCCATTATTAGTGAAACACACTTCAAGACACTTTAGTTTAGGCAACGTGTTGCCATTGATTATTATTATTATTGTAGTGGTAGCTACTTCCACTTTACTTTTATTTTTTAATTAAGTAATTACTTTTATAATTTAATGTACTGTACATAATTCGTGAATTGTGACCTGAGCAGCCAGCTTGTTGGTAGGTAGCATAATCCAACCCTTTCTTCGAAACATACGTTGTCGAGAAAAATCCTTTAAGGAAGTTTATTGGAGAATTTGTAAATCATGGTGAGCAGTTAAAGATCCAACGAAGATTACCGGTCTAATTACATGACTTCCCATTATGCCATAAAATACATTAATTTAAAAAAATATTACTTGATTTCGGCGTGAAACTACATCATGTAGGTTTTCCTGTGACGAGTATAGTGTTCATTATGTCGATTTGAACACTCTGCAGTTAGAAAAAGATTCATCTGTCCATATACTCGGACTGGTAAAACTGTTAGTTTCGATATTCTTGCGGATAAACCACCTACTGACCTATAAAATGTGACCTGGGACAATGCATCAATGGTAAAATAAAGCAAAGTGTCTTGAAATGTGTTTAACTGGATAATGGCATGACATTTTTTCGAGGGGATAGTTTGTAGTTATACCACCAAATGTAGGTATGTAAGTATGGATAATAAGATAGTCAATAAGTGATGATATAAAAATCAAAATTTTTCTAGGCCTACTTATATAAAATTTTGGAGGGAGTTGTAATGCCCAAACCCCCCTCTCATGAGTGCGCCCCTGATTTTTTTAAACATCTGATGTAATTATTTTCATTGTTTTGTTGGTTCGAATAGATTTTGTTTTGTTTTTTTTTAATTCATCACAGCCTACTTGATTAAAATATAAAAACCGTTGATATAACTGGTATCTTATTTTCAATCTTATGTTATGATGGCTCGTTGAAAAGAGAATTAAAAAATCTATTAAGTAATCTAAAAATCTCATATAGCGCCTATTTAACTTTAGAAAGTTGGTAAATGTTCCTCAAAAGTAGCCATCTTGATTTTTTTTTGACATCAATTCTAAATTAAGCGTATCAAAGACAGTCACTTTTATATAAAACTTTTTTTTATATCTCTTATACTTTCGATGATATTAGACATTCAAGGAAATGACCAATTTTAGTTTTTTTGAATTTACGTCGAACCTATGCGACATTTTGAATTTCCATAAGGAAATTTTAAATAAGCATCCAAAACTGCAAAACATTGCCCATTTACCCAATTCTCTATCTTTAATAATAACAAAGTTACCCATGCAATCCCACGCGATCTGGGGCACACTGTATGTGTATACTTTCATTTCAAAACAAACCACCTTTTAGAATGTATAATTTTATAAAAGCACCCTATCATCCCTATCATTAGACACATCATTCCAAATTCGATTCAATAACTTAACCTCACGGTTACCAAAAGAAAAATAGATGCTTACCTTTTAATTAAAATTCTTTGTGTTTTATTTTTATTATTGGAGTAATTTAGGGGATCCTCCTTTTTTAAAAAGTGACGTAAGTATTATTATTTCGTATAATAAATTGAAATCTAAAGAAAGTACTACGGTACCGTACGCTACCTCTAAAATACCATTTTCATACAAACAAATATTATTAACGAGCTCCTAGCGAGTTTATAATTTTGCGGTGTCCGTCCGTCCGTCCGTTAGCACGATAACTTATAAACGAATGGACCGATTACGATGAAATTTTGCAGGTGGATTCTTTATCAAATTTCTAGATCGGAGTTCGTGAATTGGCAATGTAGGCCAAAAAATAAAGAAGGCCCTTTTGACATCTCCGTTAGTTATGAACCGAATTGCATAAAATTCAATATGCGCATACCTTTAGGGCTTTAGCCATATAAAACACAATTCCAAGAGTTGAGCCTAATCTATCAGCATTCATCTCGACCATTTACAGACGGAATTGCAAACTTCCTTATTTATGAAGGTATTTAAATGAAATTTGATACATAGCCACTTGGAATAAAAGCAAATGTAGCGCAATTTTCCAAATTTTCTTCTTCTTCTTATAACCGTATACATTCACGCCGTATCTCACGACTCTAAGGTTACCTTACCTTTAAACGCCCAATTTAAAAGTCAGGACCGCACTTAAAGACCTCTTGCCGACGAACACGCAAGGTCAAATTCCCACGCCACCAAATTTAACACACATTTTTTGCCTCTTAGGAGGCGATTCCAGAGGTAACCCATGAAACATGTATTTATGTTCCTCTATGAGACTACGCAGACTTAATACAACAATCTCCATTTCTAAGCACAGCGTGACACATCGACACCGGACACGAAATTCTAAGATGGAGCGGATATTTCAAAATAACGCTAATGTTATACGTAAAATGTTATATGTACCTACCGCTTCATGCGAATAGTAATCTCGAGTCGATTAGGATAGCATGGAAGCACGTTTACGTTGGTGCTTTTCGGTTTCCCAGAACGGCGCATTTTACAGACAGGGGTAGTAGGTTGTGGTGGAGTACGTGGCAGAGGCAGCCGAATGGTTGTGGACGCTGACGGAAATCCTGTTCGGTTGCGGATTTTCTAAGCGGAAAAGGGGTTAGGCGAAAAAGAGCGGCCGCGAGTAAAGAAAGTTTTGACCCAAATGAAAAGTGGTTTTCGGTATGTCAACAAAGAAAACACGCGCGATTATAGACGTGGTAAATTTCGCGTCGGACAGAAACAGAGTGAAATTAGTGGTGGCTTTTGTGATGATGAAAAATAATAAACAAGTTCTATCGCTGAGATTGTACTCTTTATTGCTTTGAAAATCCGCAAAATACTATTGTCCGCCTCACCTTGATTTTACAGTAGGTAGGTACAGGTTCTTATGGTCAACGATGATGCCAAATGTCATTAGAACATGATTTGTGGAAAGATGGCGTTCCGGGTTCGATTCCCGACCGATGCACAGTTTTGTTACTGTTATATAGCATTTAGCCTTCCTACATTTTGTCAGACTAATGAAGATCGTGCTGTTTCTATATAATTTGTGGTCTATATAGGTAAATAAAAATGATAGTTTGTGTGTCTCTTAGGCTTTCCTAAACCGTTCATCCAGTCAACTTTGGGGGATCCTTGGTCGTATGCGTATCCCCAAGAGGGTTTTAGCATTGGAAATGCTTATGTTTTGTATGGGTATGAATTTACCAGGTAGTAGAAAAAGAGACAGTGGTGTCGCGTCTAGTGTTGATTGTACAATGCGATCAAAAATGAGTTGCTGTCGAGTCGCCTTTGGAATTTTTGTTTACATGGGAAATCGTACTTAACTTGAACTTCCAAAGGCGACTCGACAGCAACTCATTTTTGATCGCCCGTTACCGTACTCGACTGCAATTGGTAGATTCAGGAAAAGTCGCGAATACTGTCGATACGGTACTTACGTAACAGTGCGCAAGGGTTTTGTTAATTCGAATTGAAAATTCTCGCACATCGCCCGTGATAGTATTACAAGCATTTTACGCCGCTTATTATTCACAAAGTTTACGTTTGCGACACGAGCGACCTTGCGAACGAGTGGAGCAAGATTATTCCGTGTGATGGGTTATTTATGAATGACTTTATAGGTTATACGGTTATCATTTCCAATGTCTCCGATGGTCGCAAGGATTGCGAAATCTGTGAATTTTTTATTTAGTAGAACACTTCCCGCAATTCCCATAACAACGGGAATGGGATTTTACGTTTTACAGTCGAAATTGCCGAAGATAGAAGATAGAGACTGGACAATTGAAACGTAGGTTTCTTTGAAGGCGTTAACGTGTAATTATTCCGAAAGCATTTCGTGAAATTACCACGGAACCGGAGTATGGGAACGGGAAAAAATAATCACACGAGTTTTACGGAAGGGTGTCTCAAAATGCACGCAAGAAGTAATTAATTAATAATGGACATTATTTAATTGATTCATAAACTACACTACACGCCGATAGGATTATGCATGGAATAGCATATTTGGTAACTGGCCTCCACGGCTCTACTGGCACATATGAACTCTTTAGATGAAATTATCCATAACCGTTTAATATAAATGTGGTTAAATTCCATTACCTTGCCTCGCTTCCAGAATTCCCTCGGGCGCGAGGCGATCCAATCTCAGACTTCGTCCAGCACCTCTGCGTTCGAAATGAAACGGCGACTTTTCGAGTGGTTCTTCTTGGGTCCAAATATATTTATTACTTTAATAATGTATAGGTATATTTCTTTTCCATCGCATATAAGTTCCTTGCGCAGACATATTTGAGGTTAAGTAGTAGAGCGGAGAAGAGCAATTGCTCTTTACCGAACTTCGCCTTTGAGAATAGCACAGTAGTAAATTTCAATTTCAAGCACGTGTGTACACATCCATAATAGCCAAAGAAGCATTAACATTTATCTAATGTACCACACCGCAAACAAATGTGCTAAACTCAATAAAGCAATATTATTATTATTATTATTGTCGGTGTTTCTTGTGAGAACTCAGGTCTAGCCTGGTTAACTAATCGCACGGATTAAAATCAAGTAACGATTAGTGTTATTAAATACGTGGAAATCGTCCGGCGACATGTCAACCATAGTGTCAATCTTGTCCTCTGTGATGTGTCTGTTCGCCTTTATAGCCTTATCCACGCAAGCAAAGCACTAATCCGTATAGAAAATAATTCCGCGTAAATTTTTCGTACGTGACTGGAGGAGCAGTTCTATAGCAAGTTGTTGATTGGCTTGTCGAGTTGCCAGGTGTCGATAATTGGTTATACGAAAATGGTGAAAATGGTGCGTTACAGTGAAAAAGTTCTTCAGTACAAAGTGAAAGCTTATTAAAATTGCTACAAGTTTGATTATATACATCTTTACTAAAACTGAACCGTTTTATGGTATTAATGTCCTCGTACCCATCGAATACAACTGCACAATTGGAAGAATAGTGATTTATTATACTGCTCACAAATGAAAGAGAAAGTCGTCCCAACATTCCATTTGACTCTGTGAAGGAGAAAGCCACCGTCCACTACAGCGTAAATGGTTTGGAGGTTCATTGCATCCATGCACACAGGGAAAGCCTCATAGAGAGCAGATTTCTTCGTTTTCCTGAAGCATCCTTCGTGGAATAGCGAGTCATGGGGTATGGAGATAACTCCTACTTCAACAGGTTCGGACTATAAGGATGTTAATGCTGTACAGGTTTTATTGTGACGATTTTCCCCTAAAATGACCGGGGGAGGATTTAGAAGTCAAAAATATACGAAAAACGTGAGTGAAAAACAATTTTGTGTAGAAATTACCACCTTTCCGGAGCCGGTAGCACGAAAACGGTTCAGTTTTTCGTAAAGATGTATATAACCAAACTTGTAGCAATTTTAATAAGCTTTCATTTTTCACTGTAACGCACCATTTTCGAGTTAAAAGCGAAAAACTGAAAAATGGGTCGTTTAAAACCTCCTCCTTCCCCCAGCGGCACTGGAATTTGGAGGGACTTTATTTTTTCTTGTTCAGGGAACCTCTCCCTACACATTTCTGAAAAAAACTAGTATTTTTAGTTCATCTGATTTTCCTATTTTGACTGGACTATAAGAGAAGTCCGTTTAAATGCCGGAGTTAGCGTTTAGAAGGGGCCTTTTGCCAGTTTCAAAGCCCGTGTGCTGTCTGTTTAAAGTCAGGTGGTGCCAATTTCGAGGCCGAGTTGCTGTCCTTTGAAAATTGATAACCAATTCATTATTGTTCGTCAAATAGAAGTCAGTAAGTGGTAATCAAGAGGCCAGCTAAGTTGGAGTTGAAATTAATTCCGTTAAATCAGATTTGATTTAGCGAGTTAAGCGCTTTACGTTTTGGTTAAGCGCGTTGTTTCTTTTCGCAATGAGTGTTTTGTGTGTCCGGATGTTTATTGGGATTTGTAACCGAAAACTGTAAGTAATCTAAGATTTGTTGATGTTGTTTCATTTGTAATCGAACGCATATGCGGAGTTTGTTTATTCGGATGACGTTGTAGTTCAATTTTGTTAAAGTAGGATTTTCATTTGTGGTGGTAAAATAAGTTTTGTTTGTGTGAAATCATGCAAATCGTATGTTTATTCCATCCCTTTAACGATTCAGATAGATGTCTCATGCTTAATTATGCTTAATTTTGTTGATTTCAAGTGTCTTTAAAATTTGGTAATTGATCTTTTTGGAGTTTAAGGAATTTGATCGTGACCAATTGTTTCCTTGGAATATGGAATTTAAAATTGAATTTTTCTGATTGTGCCGGGATACGGATGTGTAGTGGGACAGTTGTGCACTGACCTTTCCCTTTAAATTAGAGTACACATAGCATCTTTTCAATGCATCTGCAGTATACCGTCTGCTAATTTTACGACTGCAGCCCTTGGTAACCTTAGGTAGAGCTAGAGACATTGAATTTTATAAATTCAATTCTAGGGATAGAGATTTTACACGGGGTTCTTGGACACGATCAAGGAAGTAAAAACCATAAAAGTCAAGGTAGATGATTTAATTCATTTGGACACTTTTCTAAATGCATATAGTGGATCAGATTAACAAAAAAATCCAACTCCTTACATAGTGATAAACAAAACAAAAGCCCAAGTGCTTTTGACTGATTGATTTTGGCAAAGGTTTTCAACGAAAATTGATGCTTACTTACATATTTCGAACTAACCAGTCCATTTTCCAATTCTAAAATTGTTTTCTTCAAATTATCAACCTCTAGTTTGTGTTTCTCTTTTTCCTCATCTCTCTGCGTTTGTAACTAAAATACAGCTTCAACAATAACTCATATTACGAGGGTCGTTCGCACCTACCTTTTGAAGTAGCCGAATACCGACGCATGATGAAGGACACGTTGAGCCCTCATTGGAACTTTGTCTCTTCATCTGTAAGTCATTCTCAGGCCGCACCGGAAGTTCACATAATCCCACAGTCACCTGAAAATTCTTGATGGAATTTTGGTAGTGTGATTCGGTCGCATGAACTTCCGGATCCCATTTCACCGACTTGCGTTCTGGTTCTGGCGTTGATTGCGGTGCCTCGATTATTCCATCGATATCCACTGTAAGCGAGGATTCGTCTTCGGAATCCAAAAGTGAATACTCGCTAATGACTTGGTGATTGTTTCCTGTTAGAGAAATATGCATTGCTTCAATTGATTCGTTTTTAGCTTGAATCTAAGGAGTGAGAGCGTTTTTATGTGACAAAATAAAAGAACCCCTCACCATTAATTCATTTTCGCGGCGAATTTTAAGTATTTCGTCCAGAAGTGCTTTCTGCAAAGTATAAGAAAAACTAAAGCTTTGTTCTATTCTACCTGATTTACATTGTCATTTTTCAGAGCTTTGATTGCGCCATCGTTTGCTGATCGCGTGGTCTCCCAACTCAATTTGGCAACCGCGTGTTCACCCTGCAGTTTCGTGTAATTCTTTTGCGCCTCCCTATACTTGCGTTTATATTCCTCTTTTTCGTAGATCTAAAAGCAGGTGAAATATAATAAGCAGCCACCTTTCGTGGCATAGGAGTTACATATCCGTTGGCCTGTTGGTGAAATTTTTCCAGTTCGTTGTTGGCTTGATTAATCGTATCCTTCAAAGTTTTGTTCTCTTCCTCCAACTCCCTAAACTGAAACACGAGTTAAACTAGTGACTGGCAAGGAAATGGGTCACCTTCTTCTTAAGTTCTACATGGCTGGACTCTGCTGCTCCCAATTTCTGTACAAGATAAACACTATGAAATAGAAAACATTAAGACCCTAACCCGCTCACGTGTACATAGCTTTTTGATTTCTCTTTTTTCACTTTTTTAATTGATTTTTGAGTAGCTAAGTAAGATTTTGACGCACATTGGCAGAACGCTTCAAATGCTTTCTATAAACAGTACATGTTTGTAACCATTCGACTAATTTCATGGTGTTTTAAACCTACAGGCCCATTAATCTTTTGCATTTTATTATAAAAGTAAGCTATTGTAGCGGACAAGGAGGTGACCATATTCCGTAGGTTCAAAATCTCCTTGTCCTTGAGGAATAGATCGCTTAATAACTTGTTAATTTCGGTTCCTATGGAATACAGGAGCACACATTCATTATTTGCTATCTGTAGAAGATTTGCCACGTCTAAATCTATCGATCGATCACCAGCATTAGTGTTTTTGGGCGTATCTTCAGCGCGCGACTTTGGGGATTGTTTTGTTGTTAGAAAGAGGGATACGTTGCTCTAAAAATGGATCTTCAAATGGCGTTTAAAAGAGATAGGTGAATACCTGAATACTCTCCACCATAGTTTATACAGAAATTTAAAAATTTTGCTGAAAATTTGTCAAACTGTCATTCTGTCATTTAATGCATTACATAAAAGCGCCATTATGGCAGATATGCTCGGAAGAGTAGGTAAATTATTCTGAAAATGTCAATGCGAAAATGGAACATGCCCATGCCAGAATATCTATCTTTCTAATACGTTCTAGACCACACCCATGAAAATCAAAGAGATCCGAGAGTGAGAACAAATAGTTACGAGGGTATGACTTTACAAAACAATCACTCTTAACATATATTTTTTTATATTCTTTATGTACAGGGTGAGTCAACGATTGCGCGGAGTAACTTAATGCCTTGAAGATAACATTTTTTGATAGAGTGCTTTTGTATTATGAAATGGTTGAATATTCTCCACATTTTAAAAATATTTGGAATTATACAGGGTGCACTCACAAAGTAGAGCGCCCAAATTGTACATTTTTTTAAATAGAACCCCCTGTATTTGAATGCATTCTTGAATTCTACGTGTAATTGTACGTTTTTTTTTATTATATGGTTAATACCCGAAAAGCTAGTAGTTTGAAAGAAAATTCGATTTTTAAGAAAAATTGGGCATTTGCAAGCGTCAGTATATTGTCAAAATTATTACTTAAATTTTGATTCCAGGTTTTATATTTTTAGCCTGGGTTAAGTAAAAGTCAAATAAATACATCTACCTACTATAAAACATTAAGCAAGTATAAATTGTGCACAACTCTTGTGCAGATAAAGCGCATTTTTTTAACCGAAATAGCTTTTGTTATATTTTGATATATTTCTTGCATCGTCTCAATCGCCCTTTGTGAGTACCCTCTTCCGACAATCCCTTCTTGAGGTATAAGGGAATATACCCGATCACGATAAGAGGTCGAGGAGGAGGGCTATGGTTGGTAGAAATTAATTCCTTTCGTTGAGACCTTTTATTAGAGTACCATGAAGGATAAAACTAGTTCGACTTCCCCTCCACCTCCTCCTCCACCATGTCTTTGATAAGAGGACAGAAAGAAGGGCAGTAGTTGCTGGACCCCCCCCCTCAAGCCTCGTCGCTCAATGATCTCACTGATCTTAAGACCACTAAAGGCATGCGTATGCAAATTCTAAGACCAATTGGTTGTCGTATGTAAAAGTTATGCACGTTTTACTTTCAAAAACAGCATCTCAGGAAATAATTCGAGGGGGGGGGGGGCTTTTAGACAGCGAAATTGGATGGTCGTCTGGCACACCTTCAAGGTATAGGTACTGCAAAAAATTCCAGGACTCTAGGACCATTCCCCTACAAGTAGGTCAAAACGGTAGAAGTGGGTCTTTTTTTAAATGGAATACCCTGTTTATTTTTCTGTCATCTGATAGCTTTCGAAACATCTTGGTTTTCCTGGTTTTTATATTCTAATCTGTAATTTACATAATAGTGAGGTGGCCATGCAAAAAAAGGCAATATTTATCTGCCTCGTTCAAAGCTAAAATCATATTTATTAATTTATTTTTCTAAAAACTGGAGAATAAATTTGATAGTAAAAACATAAACAAATACCTATCTTGGTTTTTCTACTTTTTTTCTACTGAAATAAGTTCTAATTTACATAATAACGAGGTGAATATGAAAAAAAATTAAACTAATATCACTGACTGGATGACATTAGGAGTCAAATTAAATTTGCTTTGTAGTCAAATGTTTTTATTTATTCTCCAGTTTTTGGACTTAAAATAAATTATTTGAAACATAAATTAATCGATATGATTTTCGTTTTGGACGAGATAGATAAAAATTGCCTTTTTTATTTTTTGCATGTTCACCTCACTATTATGTAAATTACATACATATAACCTTTGGAGGAACTAAATGATGACAGAAAAATATACAAAAAGTTAGATTTTTTAATATGAAGTTTTGCAACTTAGGACCTACCAAAAAAACACCCTGTAAGCTATATTTTTAATTTTTCATAGTAAATGTATTTATTTTTTTATTTACTTAATCCAGGATAAAAATATAAAACCTGGAGTCAAAATTTAAGTAATAATTTTGACAATATATACTGACGCTTGCAAATGCCCAATTTTTCTTAAAATCGTATTATCTTTAAAACTACCAGCTTTTCGGATATTAACCATATAATAAAAAAGACGTACAATTACACGTAGAATTCAAAAATGCTTTCAAATACAAGGGGTTGGTTCTATTTAAAAAAAATGTACCATTTGGGCGCCCTACTTTGTGGGTGCACCCTGTATAATTCCAAATATTTTTAAAATGAGGAGAATATTCAACCATATCATAATACAAAAGCACTGTATCGAAAAATCTGATCTTCAAGGCATTAAGTTACTCCGCGCAATCGTTGACTCACCCTGTACATGAACATTGTTATTGTGGTAACCTGTTATGTTCATAAATAAATAAATAAATAAAAATAGTAGACTATACCGGTAGAAATCATAAAACTATAGCATAAGTAGATTATAGGCCACTTCGCCGAAAGCCCACAACGCCGACACGATTTTGATGGTCCATATCGCCGAATAGCCGGCGTTGTGGTCACGTTCGGCTTAGTGTCCCTTGCACTCTTGTCGACGATGTGGGCATGGTCGGCGTAGTGTCCGTCGGCGTAGTTTCCCTAGTCGGCGATATGGACCATCAAAAAATCGTGTCGGCGTTGTGGGCATTCGGCGAAGTGTCCCGGCCCCGTTATAGCATCCCGCAAGCAAGCGCATGTATAATTAAAGAAGGAGGGCTATCCGTTTCTGAGAATTCACATTTGATGATCTCACTGAAACGAAGAGGTTTTCGACCATAGGGCGTAGCCTAAAATTGGTTAACAGTAAGTCACAAAGACACATTGATGGATTGCGTCACGACTAGGACAGTTTACAATGTTGCCCTTCAGATTATGGCGACTAGAGGGCATACCTATTTTCGGATTTGGAGGCAGAAGAAGTGAAAAGAGGAATTTCGAATGTGTTGCGGGCAAAGAAGAGCATAGTAGGTAGGTAGTACACTTATATAGCCATCGAGCTTTCAAGTGCTTGTTCTAAGACCCATGAAAAAAGGTGGTCTCATGAAATTAATAAGCAGAATTTAATTTCACTTTTCCTACATCTAACAATTATTTCGCAACCCCTCAGAGTGCGACACCAAATTAAGTGAGCAGGGGTAGCCAGGCCCTGAAGCTCCCACTACCCTAAGTACTCTTGTCGATAAAGTTTTCATTATCACCTTTAACAAGTCATGGTCGAGTCCGATTTCTCGAATCTCTACTCCGCTAACAACTGACAATCGAACTTTCACCTGAAAATCCTGGAGTCATCAGAAGTTGACCAAATGTCGATCGCCTCTGAGTTAGAGAAAGAGGGCGGAGTTCTCTCGTAAAACTAATTAAGAATAGACTATTTTGTTTTACGGGATAACTCCGCCCCCTTTCTCTCACTAATTTGAGAGGTTCCACCCTGGATATACAACTTACGACGATACATACATTTTTGGGAGTTGGCCACCATGCAATTTCTAGGTGGGGAAAAGCTGCCTGCGCCACCTAGAAAGCACGAACGGGGGTTACGTTTGGCATCTTCTCTTGAATGGCGGTCGTGATTCGTGAACGCGGCGCTCCATAAATGTTTGTTGTTATTTTGTGTTATTTAATGCAGGTAGAATTTTTGCATTTCTTTATATCGTATTTGTGTTTTGTATGCCGCATTTTATATTTTTTGTGTGTTTCAATCTTTGTTTTTCAAATTTACTTGGTTTAACCTAATGGGGAATCACATGTGTGATGCCGTTATGTTATTGTTTGTAATTGTTTACGTTTTTGGTGTAATGTTTGCTTAATTTATGTTTATTGATGTTGACAATTTTATTTTAATATGCGAAAATTACCGATTCGTTTGAGGTATATACTGACTTGTTGTTTGTTACTAACAATTTTCTCCGTGAATGAAGCAGTCACGGGAGTGGTAAAAAAACTGTAGTAAAAATTGAAGTACGACACCTAATTCCGTGATTGTCTTCGACATCCAACTGTAGGCTCGAAACACCGAAACCAGGGGCGGGCTACCCATCTTGCAGGAGCAGGATTATCCTAATCAAAGCTCTTCAGTTTAGAATCTATGTGCGATAAATGAGTGGCGATTCAATAATTTCACATATCTTGTTTTTAGTTAAATTTGCCTACAAGACCATGTAATTTTCCAACTTGCTTTTAACAAAAGTACTTTATTGCACCCAAGATGAGTAACATTCTGTACTCTTAACCCTTTCTCAGAATTTAGGTACCTGCTCCTGCTACTACCTGACCCATTGTTCTCAAAAACTTGCTTTTAACCTTGAGTGTAACCAACATTGTGTAGGTATATGCATTTACTATCTTTGTTAACTACTGCTTAAACTTTTACAAAATATTTTGTTAATTAACTTTTGGACTGTATTAATCAAACTGCGAGGTTTTTCTTACGTCGTACTCTTTTTACCCTTAGCAGTTACTTTTGCGAGAGTACAACACCTTTTGGCTTTGCTTACTTTGTTTATATTAATGTACATCAACTAAATTTCCGGCCTATCACAATCTTAATAATTACGCTCATTTTTAAACAAACTTTTCACAATTTCAGTGTTTTATTTAACGTTCTTTCCCTACTGTGCTTCAGGTCAAAGGATTGTCTACAACTAACGTAAGGGGGCCCCGCTTTAGATGTTTTATCACGTGGCACAATTCAAATTGAAGCGGGACCTTGTTTAGTTTTGGGAATAGTAATTCCGGTGGCCATTTTTAAACGTTGCCGGGTTAACTTTATTTCCGTGTTCTTGTAGTGTGAAGTTAGCGTAGAACCCGGGGATTAAGTACACTACAAATTCTATTCCTATGAACTCAAGAATAAGGACCCACGAGTGCCACGTACGAGAGAATGCTGCTCATCTGGATAAAACTCCTTTTATTACGTTTGGTAAGTAACCGTCGAGTATACTTTCGTTAATACTCTCCTTCATGAAGCATTTTAATGACACGGCATCCGTTCAATCCGATTTACTGGAATTGAGTAGAGAGCGTGTACTAAACGTTTTTCAGTAAAATCCATGGAGTTTAGCAGTTACCCACCTAGGATACTTAGCTTCACTACTGAGAATAGTGCCTCCTAAAGTACTGAGCCCACAAAGTAGTAGGTATATGATGGTATTGATTTTTGAAGTACGTTTTATACTTCTGTAGAATCGACTACAATAAAACCCAGACCGATCCCAAGGAAAATTTGTCCTGCGAAAAATAAATCGCCCACGCATAGTAAACCGATTAAATAACCAATGTTCTGATTTAAACGGCCCAAATTTTATTGTTGTCACCTTTTGAATGGAGTTCAATTCCTCATTCTTCAAACGTAATTTAAAATTCGCCTCTTCGAAGAGTGCCGGTGTTGGACCTTCACTTAATCGTACCTCTAAGTCTTTCACCTGCCTAAATACCCAATCTTTATCCAGGCTAACTTTTTATCACAGTAACTACTTACGAAACTAATTCAGTAATCTTCATCTGGGCCTACAATTAACGCTATTACGAATGTACAATGAATAAAGGTGTAGTACTTCATTACGAGCGGAAGAAACTGCGTGTAAACTTTCCTGAAGTGCGGAAACCTTCACAACCGTATCTCTTTCCAGCTGCTGAACAACTTTCACCAACATTTGATTCTGCTCATTTAAATCCCTTATCCAATCATGTTGCAAACGAATTTTAAGCTGGGACAATGTGCATACATTATTCTGATAAATGAAAATCTGAAAAGTTTACCTCCAAATGGTCTCCTCGGTCCAGGTTGTCAATGTCGTGCAATTTTGCTTCATATAGTGTGTTAAACGTATTTATAATATCTAATCCTTGGATCTCTTCGCATATCTTTGGATCAAAATGGAATCCTTCTCCGTTGGCACCAGGACAATCCGTATCAGTTATCATGGTCTAATATAATATTAATTTTTAAAACACGTTTACATGTAAGTCAAATGCTTGACGGATGCTTACTTGATCCACCCACCGTAAATTAACTACTACTATCCATGCCCTAACTTTTCATGTAGACTGAACCAAAACCAGTAACTAACGTGAACGTAATCGGTGTTCGTAGTACAAATAGGAATCGCGAATTTGGGATGGCAGCCCAAAACGGCGAATATTTAAAAAATACTTCTTAAACGCCATACAGACGGTACAATTTGTCGTACGACTTATCGTACGACAAGTCGTTTCAGATATCGTTTCAACCTGCCGTAGGACATAATTTCTTAAAAACGTAAACAACAAGTCGAACGACAACGCTACACACGGTAGTAACGATCCAAAGTCGTACGACAAATCAGCATCATAGGGCGGCTTTAGTTCGCTTTTCTAACACCATGGGGTGCAAACGCCCCCCTTAAGACGACACCGCCAAGGTGATTGGTTGTTGTCTTCTTTGTTTCGTTTTATTAACAGAGAAACAACAGAAGCAATGTTCTAAACAAGAAAATTGCTGAACAGGTATTTTGTCTTACAGCAATAATTGCACGTCCAATTTTGAGAATACACGGAGCAATTTCTTGCGACCATATAAATAAATCTAGAATAACCCAATGTTTACAAACCGCTACCCCCTATAAACGAAAATTACACCAGATCCATTAAGCGATATTGCAAAACACAAAATATAAAAAAAACTTCAGTGTGTCAAGTAGGTATTGTACAATCCTTTTGATTCTGTTGTGATAATGTAGCCACAGCCACTTTTGGTTCAATTGTTTGATTTGTTTGGTAAAACCTAACCTTCAAATATGGCCAGCATAAAACGCAATAGAAATAATAGAATGTAATATCGCAATGAACGCTTCAACAATAGCTGTGCGAGGGTCACCACTCATTCAAGATGATTATGAGTTCGAAGACGATAAATTCGAGGAGGATAGAGAAAATGAGGAACCGAACGAGGAAACTGATGAAGGTACTTTTATCAGACTATATGCTTATGTTTTTCATACTTGCTATAACTAACTGTAAGTGTTGTTAACGAGTAGCAATGTCTCTATATGCAGATACGGAGGAAGCGAGTGAAGCTGAAATGAGCCGACATGATGAGTCTTACGAAATCAAAGAACAAATGTATCAGGATAAATTGGCAAGTCTAAAGAAGAAGCTTCAACAACTTAAAGACGGTACACATCACGATTATAATCGCAGAGTCCGTAAATTGGAATATCAGTACAAGGAACGTGTCAGGCTTAATATGATATTTCGAGATTATATGATAGAATGTGTCGAACGGGACTATCTAAAGGAGAAAAAGGCATCCGCAAAAGAGTTTGAAGAGAAAAAGGTCGACTTAAAAGAAAATTTGCTCTCCGATTTTGAGGACAAGAAGCGTACTATTGAGGCAGAAAGATATACGCTAGAACTTACAGGAGATTCCATGGAGGTTAAGCCTGTAATGACGCGAAAATTAAGAAGGAGACCCAATGATCCCATACCTGTTCCGGAGAAGAGGCGAAAACCGCCTGCTGCACAGATTACGTATTTATTAGATGAAAAGGAGATCGACAATGATTTAAAGATTATCAGTAGAGGAAAAATGTTAACTCCAACACGTAAACCATGTGAAACTTTAACGCCTGTACCGAATGTAGTAACACCACCAGCGGTCCCCGTTATCACATCCACAAATGAAGCACCATTGGTTGAAACAAGAATTGAAGATGGAAAGTTATTGTACGAAAGGCGTTGGTTTCACAGAGGGCAGTCCGTATACATCGAAGGGAAGGATATGCCCAAGTTTCCAGCAAGTATTTCAGCTATCGGTACTGAAGCTGTACGTATATCATTTTGTCATGTAATTTGTTTAACTATCTTGTTTTCAGTTGTGGGTTAAAAAGTCTGATGGTACAAAAGTTAGAATATATGTGTCTAATTTGGCGAGAGGAAAAGTGTCTATCAAAAGAAGAGCATCTTAAATGTTTCGGGGATATTAATTGAACAATAAATAATTTTAGACTACATTGTCATTAATTGCAATATCACTTCTTGTTTCACTATCCGTAGCATTGATGGTTTGTAAGGGAATAACTTCGTTCTGAAGTGTAATGTTTGCATTTCGAAATTCTGATGGCTCAAAAATGTTAAAGGCTTCAGAGCTGAGTGTGTCCCTACCATCTTCAACTGCAATGTCTTGCGTTCCTTGAAAAGAAATCGAACTAGGAGGAATGTAATGCACAATGGATTCCTCTTGCCAGCAGTAATACCAAGCTCTAGCGTGATACCTAATAACCATGTACACCCACAAATAGTATCCTCCAATCATAATGGAAATCATTATTAATAATGAAAGGGCTGTCCATTTTGCGGCCGGAATATCTGAGAATCTCTTCTGATTGTAATAATCTGCCGAAAATAATCCAATATAAGTGATAATAATTGCTAGAGGTGTGATTATTGCACACGCATAGAGGTCGTTCCTTAAACCGCGAATTGGAATTGTGCTAGTGTGGGGATGCACTCGAAACCAACGCCAAATAGATTGCTGCGCTGTGTATGCGGGAACCCTTTCTGTTTGGTATACGTAATGACACACTTCACACGATGTTAAGTTGGATTCTGCTAACCATTTTTCAAGGCAGGTACGATGGACAAATGCTACACTTCCCTATCAAAATAGAAATATCAAAATTTGTTCGGAAATCGTCTCGTGTATACTTTGCATTTGCAAGGTGTAATAATCGGTTCAGTTTTATCCCCATCATAGCAAATGCGACATATTACACTTACTATTGAACACTTGTCAATATCTTCACCTAGTACAGATTTCTTTGCGTCTACACTTCTTATAACAGAATGGGAACTTGAAGGTTTTTGAATTCCTTTACTCATTATATTGAGAACTTTTTGATAGTAGGTATATTATGTTCTAGGAGTGACATAATTTTCTTTAGTAAAATAGGAAAATTATTGACTTTTGAATTTAATAGATCAAGTGAACATCTAATCAAGTTTTATGAACTACTCTCATTACACACGACCTACAGTGGTACCTAAGTCAAAGCCATAGAATTCGAAATTAACAATATTTATGGCCGTTGCTCATGTGTTTGTTGGGCGACATTCCCTTAGTTGATTATGCTTTAAAACAGCCTTACTACCTACGTGGCAAAATTACACTGGCCACAATTTAAGCAAGAGGTATTTTTCGATATCTTCCGTGCTTTAATAAACGACTATTTAAGTTGTTCGTACCTACTATGTATTTGTATACCTAATCGCACAGAGTGCACGTAACATCCTTGAATGTGGATATGCCGCTTTAAGTTGTGCTTACAGACTTTGGAAATAATAATATGCGTTTAGACGACGATTTCTTAAATTATCCTAATTATTGGTTGCCTGATCCGTAGCCTACCGATAGAACTAGCCGTGACACTCATCCCCACTATTGCGTTGACGTCACAACTGACGGCGGCCGTCATATCGACTTTTAATGTAATTAATTCCAAGTAGTTTAATGTTGTACACTTAAATTAACTGTATTCGAACAGAATAAGTAAGAAAATGCCAAATACGTGCTGCGTCCCTGGTTGCAAAAGCAATTATAGTTCAAGAGACAAGGTTCCTTACGGTTTTTCGTTTTCCGAAAAATGAAGACATCAAAAAAAGTGGTTAAGATGTATTCACCGGGACAATTTTGAAATTACTAGTTACCCCAGGGTTTATATAAAGCATTTCTCCGACATTTTCATTATTCGGGTAGACAAGATGACTAGATAAGACGATACAGTATTAACAGTTCCACGAGACCAGATTAAACTTGCCCAAGACACGTATCCCACCATTTTTGAAAATCAGTCATCATATATGAAAAGGATGTAAATGATGAGTTACGGCAACTACAAATGACCGAAAATCTGTAGTCTCTAAGTGGTCCAGGGGCCGAGATCTCGATGGAACACACAGATAGGCAGACGAGGGAACAACGAGCACCAAAGCCGCTTTACATTAGGCAATTTTAGTGCAATGCAAGAGCAATGCAAGTTAGAGATACGTTACTGCGCATGTTCATACGCAATTCAGGTGCAAGAAAAATAAATAGAGAAAGTTCTATTTCACTTGCAAGTTTGGCGCAAGTTCTAGTAACTTTTCTATTAATTTTGTCAATACCACAATTTATTTGGTTTCGCGTGTGTTATTTTGTGTGTTTTTTTTAATAGCAAGCGCCACCACATAACAAGCTGTAGCCAGCTTAATTTCCTTTTGTTTGCTCATACCTAATGGTCAATTTTATTAAGTTTCAAGAATAACCTTCTGTGTAAACAAACTGAAAAGTTTCAATTTTTGAAAAATATGTTGTCAGTACTGCAACACTTTTCTGAACTTGCACAAAAGTTGCAACATAATTGCATAAATGTAAAACCGTAATAAGCAATGCAAGGCAATTTTAGATTGCATAGCACAAGCCTTGCATTGCACTAACATTGCCTAATGTAAAGCGGCTTTTACCTCAACTTCGTTGTGTTACACTAAAAAAGGCAGATGTGTGTATTAGAATGTTTAAATTTTATTTGTTTTCAGCTCGGTTTTCAGTGAGTATTTGTTGTTGATGTACGTATTTAATAAAATTTTTGCATAATAACACGTGTCTATAATTAGGAAACAACATATAACAATCCTGCGGCTCAAAATAAGTAATTACTTAATGTTTTCGCGTTAAATGAGTACGCACGCGAATCAAATTGCATTTAAACACATAGTATCGCGTTGCAGTGGCCCATCTCCAGTTGTGACGTCACTAAATCAATGTCACGGCTAGATCTATCGGTAGGCTACGCCTGATCACACCAAAAATGCTTAAAAATAATGTGATAGGATGTGACGTTTTAAACTATCCTTGCTCATTCAGGTGCAATTATATTGATTGTAAATGAAATTTTTCCGTGTGTTTACTTTTACAGTCAAAAAACTACATTATTTATTTCTTGTGGTTGTGGCTAAGGACGTTAAAAATACCTTACCGTCTTTGTTTTTGTCACAGATTATAATCCGTATTTTTGACCAATTGTAAATAAACAAAATGGCAGTTATATCCCACTAATAGTAACTGCAATGTGCTGCCACCAGAGGTCTCAATGTTAAGCTGGATCGCGAATAGAACCATGAAGAAATTACAATATTTAAAAATGATGTTCTAATTGCATTTCGCACTGATGGCGATGGGTACGTCCACCAGAACCAAACGCTTTGCGCTTTGATATTGTTTGCCATTTTTGTAGGGCAAAATTGGAATAAGTTACGAACAAAATAGTTATCGGCTACGTCTCGTGATTTTAACGTACGCGTTTCATTACGATGTTCATAAACGAACTTGTATCATTAATAACTATTTTGTTCGTGGTACATACTTGTAACTTATTCCAATTTTGCCCTACAAAAATGGCGATCGCTTGCAAACAGTAGACAATTAGCAATGCGTTCTGTTTCTGATGTAAATAGCGTCATTTGCAAGCAGTTAGTTCTGATGAACGCACCCACTGTGTCGGCGCCTATGGTGCCCGTGCTCGCTACACCAATCACTGCTACAGCTACAAGGTCTTATCGATTATTCAAAAACGTAAACGCAGTAAAGTAAATACGGAGGTGATCTAATGTTTTTGATTTTCTCTTCTTTCTTTAAGCTGCAACTCGTGCAACGACAACCAACACAGAACAGTCGCATTGTGAATATGTAAAAAAAATAAAGAGAAAATGGCCAAACAATCGCAAGTAAAATCAAAACGTAAACTTTTAAACCCCATTTTTCATTTGCAAACTGATGAAGAAGATGATAATCAATTATCGAATGGCATGATTAAAATTGTGCGAAGAACTGGTCAATTAAACCTTTCAGGTCGTAGTTTAGCTACAGGTAGTTCCACGACTTTTTCACTGCGAAATTTAAACACTGTTAATTTCAGTTCCGAATCGCATGTTTACAATGTACGAAACGGAAGTCGAAAACGAGGTAGACTTGAGTAAACCATCAGAAGAGCCTTGGTGGAGTTTTAGTCCTTTGATTTACTTGGACCTGAGTTCAAATGTTTTACAGAAATTGCCGTCTGCCATTAAGATGTTCGAGGATTTGACTGTGCTTAACGTAAGATTTGCACATTGTAGACGAGATTCATGCTTTCAATGCTTGCTTTGTGTGCACATCTTATCTGAGACCGTTAATATGTGACCTTTAAACTTGGACCACTTGATGTTTTCAGGAAAGCAAACAGTTGTCAATGCAATTGGTGGGAGAAGCTTTTCAATTTGTTATTTCGACAATGCTTAAGGTGGTTAATTCATAATCAAAGTTGGCTATTACTCGTTTGTTCTTCACGCTCTGCCTAACCATTTGAGGTTTTATTTTATGTAGGTATAATACGCAAGTAGATTAGAAGATTTGCTCATGTGAAACTGCATAACCATGAAGGTCACTGCTGATTAATTGTTAGATTAAAGTAGCTTATGTTTTAACAAGGTAACAAATGACATACTGAAGTGTATATTGGACAAACATGTGCAGTTCAGATTTGGTTATTGAATATTAATTAGGGCCTCAGGTCAATATACAAAAAAGGTGACCCAGTGCCTCTCCATCAATAACTTTTTTGAAAGAAAATCCCAATGAAGGTCTTGGTTAAGGCCACTTAGGAGAACATCATTGACATTTGACATATAGAAATGGACTGCATGTGAGCAAGAGGGAAAATCTAAGAGGCAATCTCTCTCTTTATCACGTTTGTGTTGTCAATCAGTGGTGTTCTCATAGGGTCACCACGCCGTATACTCTCAAGGATTTTTTAGACATATGGCATATACTCTCAATCAAGGCGCCACTGGACATGATAATTGTACATCAAGCGAATTGTAGGTCGTATGTTATCAATAAACACTTTTTTTTACCAATTTAGAGCGCTGAAATTGCGTTTTTAGTACCTATCAAATTTTTATAAATTTGTCAGGGGATAGACCGGCTAAACTGAGTACACTCTCAAAGAAATTGATGGGAACATCACTGTATGCGACCAACAGAAGCGCGATAGAGAGAGAGCTTGTCTGTTCCTCTTAGTTTTCCTCTCTCGCTCACCTGCACTATTGGCGCTTAGCATTGGCATGCGCAGTCTATGGTTTAATGAGACCACACATGCTTAATGCACCATATTTTCTGTGAGAGCATAGTCAGTACCGTTAAATGGAGTATACAGGGTGATTCAAATGCATGGTTCACCATTGGGATCTCCGTAACGGTGAGAGATACAGTGTCGGTTAAATGGAGACAAAGTTGCCCAGTTTTGTGACTCAAAAACGGATTTGAAAATTTTTGAAAAATATTTGAAAATGAGATCAATTAAAAACTAAAAATGTCCAATTTTGTTTTCATTTTCGTTATGGTAGGAAATGGACAGTTCCCGTTGGCGCCTTCATTTAGAATTTCTATATTTCTTATAGACGCCATATTGGATTTTTACGAAATGATCTGGATTTGCGATGGTTCGGCGGGTGACGATTCTTGACTTTAGGTGTTAAGGACAATCTCTTATTGAGTGCTGTGCAGACTGACAGGCGTAATATCGGCGAACTTGTGAGTTCTGAATCCGATTTCCCCATTTTACGGCAGTCACGTGCAAAGTGGCCTAATTTGCACTGTAACATTGGACACTGGTTTCAATGTCTTTTGGTGGCAATGGATTGTTTCTTCATAAAAACGCACTTTGCGTCGTAACTTTGGTATTGTTCTCCGCGTATTTAGGTATAGGTAGATACGTATTTAAAATTCTTGACAGATTTCAATTTAATGGCTCATTTGTTTCGCTTAAGTTCTTAAAGCTCAAGTTCCAATCGTGGTTGTAGTATTGGTAGAGCCGAACACACGTCACCTTTAGTATAGCGAAGGATATAGTCAATAGAAATCAAAAGCGATCCCTACTAATTGATTGATGAATGGTTTCGGCTAACTGGTTGTGCACTACTTCTAAATTAATTAAAATTTTGTTAAATGAGTAACTATACAAGGTCGAACATGTACCAGTTCTAGGTCGCTCGCCACCTGGTGGTGATCTTGGAAAGTAGGTCGAGGTAAACCTCAAAAGGCAAGATTTAGTTATGGTATTATCATTAAATGGGGTGTAAAATGACATTTACAAGGTCAACGACCAACATTTTGCGGTGTCAAATTACATGGTCGAAGTCATCCAAGGCCAATGGCCTCAATTGTTGTGGTGCCAAATTACTTTTAGAAGGTCAAGGGCACAATTTTTGTGTTGTCAAATTATAATTTCAGGGCCATTCAAGGACAATGAACCCATTTTTTTGGTGTCAAATTACCTTTTCAGGTGTTAAAATCCTTATTTTTACTTATAGGTGGTGAAATGGTATTCTTTGCAGCTATTAATTTTTATTTCTGAGGTCAAATTTGTAGTTTGTGTCGTTTCCTAGTGGTGTTTTTTTGTGCAATTTTTCTGTGGTCATATTTTTTGTGATTTTTCTATTTTCTGGGGTGAAACTTAATTTCTTTGCATTTTTTGACCAGTATTCAATTTTTTATTGTCAAATTTAACTTTTGGCCAGTTCTTAGGGAATCTGTCTTTATCATAGGTCGTGGGCTTGAACTGCTGTAAAGCTTGCTTATAAACTTAATTTAGAGATGTCGGTGCAATGCACAACAAGTTTGTTGCCCAAGAAGTGCATTTGGTATCATTTTGTTGATCACATGAATTTTGATCTAGAAGACTCCTCAGTCCTTATTTTTATTGTGTTTGTTTAGGAAACGTGGAAACCGATGTCCAAAAAATGAATCTATTGTGTTCAATTTTTTGGCGTTAAATTTTATCTTTCGTTAGTGTTCGTTATTTGATGTCAAATTTTTAATTAATTTAATTTAATTAATTTTTTTGATTTTCTTTTTTTCATATGAAATTTAATTTTTTGATGTCGACCGTTTTTTCTCCTTTCCGATGTCAAATTAGGTACATATTATTTTTCGGAATTTTTTTAGCAGTTTCGTGTCAAATCTCACTTTTTTCGTATTTTTAGTGTCAGTTTTTGTAAAACTTTTTATAGAATCTGAAAGAGCACACGCGAAAATAAGGTGGTTAGAATTAAAATCTATCTTTGTTACTATCTGTACTGCAGAAGCATGATAACGTTCTGTGGCTATCGAGTAGTTGAGCCACGTAAAGAGAATGTGTTTCAAAACTTTCCGTTTCTAGGAAAAGATGCGCTTTAAAATTTTAGATAATTATAGATATTAAAACTTGTCCTGAGGATCCAACGTATCTTTCATTGTAATCATATACGTTTCAGTAGTGTATATTGGCATGGCAAGTGCTCGTACAACACATTTCGTTCAAATTTTGATGAGACCTATTCAACACAACAGTTTTCCTCAATTGCCATTAAATTTACTGTATATGCGAGACCATATCCATTTTACAAGAAAATTTCGTGGTCTATTTCATTTGTAATGTAACTTAAATTACAAGGTTTTGCACACTTTTAGTTGTCTTTCACACATTTATTAATTATTAGAGAATTGCCTAATGCTTTTGAAACGTATTTGTGAAATATTTTGAGACATTAAATCCACGCATGGTAATAGTTAAGCATGCATATTACTAGTGCTATATCATTTTTGCTTAAATTAATCACCCATTTTGTGTAGATTATAGAATTCTTTTTCGTCGCTTAGCTTTGCGCAAACATTATCTCTTTGCTTTGTTATTTATTGCAATGTTGTAGTAGATTAATAACATTTTAGTTACAAGACAATTGCCTAAAGGAGTTGCCTGTCGAAATTGGTAATCTAATAAAATTAACAAAATTGAATCTATGTCGCAATAAACTTACCGCCTTGCCTAAAGAACTATATAAATTAATTGAACTGAAACAATTATTTATTGCTCATAACAATCTGGAAGTATTAACAGATGACTTAGGAGACTTAATCATGTTAGAGCAGCTGGTAATACGTGTATAATCCTACAATTAAGCATTAACTGTAAATGTTATAGGATTTATCTTATAATAATTTAACCAATTTACCTCCAGGTCTAGGATTTTTAGCAAGACTCGTTGAAATAAATGTGTCTTATAATAAACTTGTAGATCTCCCACCTGAGATTACCGGCTTGAGAGGTAAGGACACCATCAAGGTATTGATTTTGAAGCTGTTTTACAGTTTTAACGAAACTCGACGTGACCAATAATAATTTAAAGTTGTTGCCCAATTTTTGTGATATGCGACGATTACAATTACTTCATGCGCAACACAACGACATTGAAGAACTGCCCGATTTTACAGGCTGCGAAGGGTTACAGCAATTGCATCTTGGCAATAATTTTGTTAAAGTAAGCATCGGATGAGAAACTGACTGATACGTTCGTAATTTGCAGATAATAGACGTCGACTTCTGCGAAAATATGACTCATTTGAAAATTTTAGACTTTAGAGATAACAAAATTGATAATCTTCCACACGAAATCGCAATGTGTCAAAATTTAATTCGACTGGATTTAACTAACAACGCTTTGGAAACGTGAGTGAGTACTTGATTAGATTGACGAGTATACGGCAATTCGGTTGTAGTCTTCCTAACAGTTTGAGTCTACTCCCACACTTGCAGAATTTACAAGTGGAGGGAAATAAATTGAAGCAAATTCGAAGTGATGTCATTAAAGGAGGTACAGCGCGCATACTGAAACATTTACGCGAAAAATTTGATGAGGAAAGTAATTCGCCCGATTACCAATTGAAAGAAAACTACCCCTCGTTGAATATCTATACATTTCCAGACCGGTGCGTAGTGCTGTCGTATTAGTTATTAATTAACCCAAATGTGTAGGTATGTGATGAGCCATTGTCGCAGTCTTTCTCTAGGGATGCAAGACTTAAATGCGATTCCTCAAAAAGTGTTTGAGGACGCCAAAACTGCCGAAGTGACTGTTGTTGATTTGTGCAAAAATAAGTTTGCCACTGTTCCTGAAGGGTAAATCTGCATGTGTGCAAGACTATGTTGCGATTTCTAGTTTCAGATTACAACTCATCGCGAGTCAACTGACCGAGTTAAACTTAAGCTCTAATTTATTGAAGGCAATTCCCGAATTCATTGCTGACTGTTCTAAACTACAGTATTTGGATGTTAGCAAAAATATGTTAAGTGAATTGCCTTGTGACTTGGGCTGTCTGAAATGGATGCGCGAGGTTGTCATCGCTAATAATAGGTATGAGTGTACGATAATCTGATCCGCTTTTTTAAATCGGTCTAGATTCGGGAGAATTCCGGAATGTGTTTACGAGATGGAAGGATTGGAAATTCTTAACGCTTCAGATAACCAAATATTAGAAGTTAATGTTGACGGACTGTCGAAGCTAAAAAAGTTGGCAGTTCTGCAACTTGCCAATAATAGCATAAACTTCGTTCCACCCGAGCTTGGTAATTTAAAACAATTACGGTAAGGAAATTATACATATTTTTATCTGAGACGCAACTTAAACAACCTCTTTCTAATCGTGGCCATTAAAAAAAACTGTGCTATTGGCAGCGTTTAACTGTATTGTCGAAAACAAGTGTTACAGATACATCTGATGCTAGTAGCAACGCGTCAAGCTTTACTTATACCTAATCAGATTATTTATTTGAGTCTCGGATAAAACGTTAAGCACTGTTAAGAACCACTAATAACTTGCTTTTACAGCTCTCTGGAGTTGACGGGTAATTCGTTCCGTCAGCCTCGTTATTCGGTTTTGGAACAAGGTACTGAATCAATTCTTGCCTACCTTCGGGATCGAATACCGCAATAAATTTACCCACACCACACCCTACAGTATTGATGCTAGTCTTAAGAGCAGCCATAATTTTAAACTAAAGATGTTAGTTTTAAGCATAAATGTATATTATCAAAGTATGTATTTTTATAAAGTAAGTGTATAACAAATTAACAAAACACAGTACAAAAGTTGTTGCCATCACTGTTAGTTGTATAGCTTTATTCTTTAAGTGTTTTTCGTTTATTTACGTATGTATTGTTTATATGTAAATTGTTACATAAAATTGCAAAATATATAAACATTTCATTGGCATTATGACTTACAACCCCTTAGTAGGTATCACATTTTGACTGACACAGATTACTCTCACTCAAAATTAGATAGGGAATTGAATTATATATTTAAGAACAATTAGCAGTAGGTACTGGCTGCTTCGCTTTTGATTGTAAGAGTTGACGAGAAAAGCGATGAAAAAATCTGTACCCTGTAAGTGAATGCGGATCTAATTTTGAAATTCCCACTCGATGACTCAACATTACGTAATCCTCGGATAAGCGACAATATCATTGGAGGTGTTAGGCTGGTTGTCCACTGGAAGCAAATACAAGCGGCAAATCCCAAATATTGTGTTTTAATGTAACCTCTTCCACTGAAAGTAAGTTTGAGCGGGCAAATTTCATAAACAGTTTACCGTGCTCCGAGTAGTGTCACTACGCCGAAGGAGAGTTACTTTAAATTCCGAATAAAACGAAATTGCGATAAAAAAAACTGTTCGCACAGTCCAATAATATTCAAGTTTATTTTGGTGCCGCTAAAGCACTCGGTGTGAAAAGTTTACTAAAGAAATTTCCTAAACACCAAACAAACTTTCAAGAACAACCCTTTAAAATCGACATTATGCCAATTCTCCTTTTGTCAACCAAATTTGTACTGACCAGGATAATTAACAACCGAAACATGTGTTTCAACATCGATTACAAAATTCCGAAGATAATCATGTCGTCGGGTTTAAGAATGCATCAAATTGAAATCAGCGGGTAACTACCCCTTTGAGTCAACCACGTTAACTGTAAAAATCGCAGAGTTACACATCGAAAAAGAAGCACAGGAAACAAGGTTAGTTATTATAAAAATTGTATGATTTAGATTTTTGTTAATTTAAATTGACAGCTTTACGAACCGATAGAAAAAGATACAATTTTGATCTATTACTGTTAAATTTAAACTTTAAATGAGAGATCATAAAGTTGTTGAAAATGATGTAACATTATTGCTTTGTCTCTTTGTATTATCAAAAGAAACCCCTGAATTTGTGACCAGTTTTGTCACACTTTTTGTTTTGTATTTCATTTAAAATCATTATAAAAGGACTAAATTCAGAGGTCATTCATGATTTAACGTATCACCGTAAAACAAAATTGTATTGAGTTTAAAGTGTAAATTAATACCGTTTCAATTCCAAATTATTGAGCGATTTAGCATTAGTAAAAGAAATGGCCACCTCACCTTAGAATTCAAGTATTCAAATCGATGCCAGGTAGAATGTTAGCCTTTAAACCATTCAATGACATCTCATGAAGTTATGCTAAATGCTTACTATGGTTACTTCCACTCAGTAATGAGCTACGCCATAATTGCATGGGGACATTCTTCTGGGGTTAAACGGATTTTTGCTATACAAAGACGTGCGATTAGGATACTCACTAATTTAGGCTACAGAAGTTGTTGTAGGTGTAAGTTTGTTGAACATGGTATTTTAACCCTTCCCAGCTGGTACATTCTACATTGTATATTATTCATAAAAGAAAACATTGCTGATTACCAGTTTTCATATAACATACATGAATACTCCACTAGGTGTAGAGACAATATTAGCTCAAAATCTATTCGACTTACAACATCTCGGAACTGTAGTAACTATTACGGGATAAAATGTTATAATAAGTTACCCTCAAATCTGCGTCTTTTATCTTTCAATAAATTAAAAAATGAGGTAAGTAAATACCTTAAATTACACCCTTTTTATTCTGTCGATGAATTTTTAAGTGCGGAATGGCACCTGTAACTATTACTACTTTTTTTCTTTTGTAGTACATGTTTTTGTTTTGTTTCTTTAGTGTTCGTTTTATCTACGCTACTTGACGAATCTGATATAGTCGCAGCACTATCATAGAGTATTTACATTATTATTATTATTATTATCGGTGTTTCTTGTGAGAACTCAGGTCTAGCCTGGTTAACTAATCGCACGGATTAAAATCAAGTAACGATTAGTGTCTGTGTCTGTGTCTGGTGAAGTTATGTAGGGTCCTTAAAAAAAAAAAAAAAAAAAAAAAAAATTATTATTATTGTATATACAGGGTCACTGATAAGTTTGGAAACGGTCGATTATCGGAGAAAATATACAAGATATCAAAAAAAGTTTTGGGGTTCTTCAATGTCAATCACACACGTACATTGGACATCTAGGGATAATGTAATTCGTACTTACCAACATACCTATTGATGGGCACAATAGCCAACGCTATCAGGAAAGAGGAAAAAAAAAAAAAAAATCATTATAATAATTCCTGTAATTTTATTAAATGGAGTTTATTGTGTAAGTGTTTCTTTGGCTTTGCGTTTGGGTTGAATACGAGTGGGTTGTAATAACGTGGTGTGTTTCTGTGAAGAAGGAGTTTTGTGTTTTTTAATTGTATTTATGGTGTTTCTTTGTTCCTGAGGTCGTATTTGTGAGGTTGCTTGGGTTTTTGGTGGAGATATTGCAGTATTTTGTGAGCCTGTGGTGCTGTTAAGGTTTTTGCGCTTCGGTTGTATACGAGTGGGTTGTTTCTGAGAAGAAGGAGTATTGTGTTTTTTAACTGTGCTAGGGCGTGTAACTTTATTGGATGGACCTGTCTTTGTAGTACATGTTGCGTTACTTGTGTTTATGGTGTTTCTTTGTTCTTGAGGTTGTATTTGTGAGGTTGCTTGGGTTATTGATGGAGATATTACAGTATTTTGTGAGCTAGTAGTGCTGTATAGGTTTTTGCGTTTGGGTTGAATACGAGTGGGTTGTGATAACGTGGTGTGCTTCGGTGAAGAAGGAGTTATGTGTTTTTTAATTGTGCTAGGGCGTGTAACTTTATTGGGTGGACCTGTCTTTGTAGTGCATGTTGCGTTACTTGTATTTATGATGTTTCTTTGTTCTTGAGGTTGTATTTGTGAAGTTGCTTGGGTTTTTGGTGGAGATATTTTAGTATGTTGTGAGCCTGTAGTTCTGTTAAGGTTTTTGCGTTGCGGTTGAATACGAGTGGGTTGTGAAAATGTGGTGTGTTTCTGTGAAGAAGGAGTTATGTGTTTTTTAACTGTGCTAGGGCGTGTAATTTTATTGGGTGGACCTGTCTTTGTAGTGCATGTTGCGTTAGTTGTATTTATGGTGTTTCTTTGTTTTTGAGGTTGTATTTGAGAGGTTGCTTGGGTTTTTGCTGGAGATATTTTAGTATGTTGTGAGCCTGTAGTTCTGTTAAGGTTTTTGCGTTTCGGTTGAATACGAGTGGGTTGTGAAAATGTGGTGTGTTTCTGTGAAGAAGGAGTTTTGTGTTTTTTAAATGTGCTAGGGCGTGTAACTTTATTGGATGGACCTGTCTTTGTAGTGCATGTTGCGTTACTTGTATTTATGGTGTTTCTTTGTTCTTGAAGTTGTATTTCTGTTGTTGCATGGGTTATTGGTGGAGACATTACAGTATTTTGTGAGCCTGTAGTGCTGTTAAGGTTGTTGCGTTTGGGTTGAGTACGAGTGGGTTGTGTTTGTGATAACGTGGTGTGTTTCTGAGAAGAAAGAGTATTGTGTTTTTTAGCTGTGCTAGGCCGTGTGGGTGAGGGCGTCTTTGTAGTGCGTGTTGCGTTACTTGTATTTATTGCGTTTGTTTGTTCAGGAAGTTGTGTTTGTGTGGTTGGTTGAGTTAAGTTTGGAAATATTACAGTATGTTGTGTGTCATGTTGTGAGTCTAAAGTGCTGTTTAGGCTTTTGCGTTTGGGTTGAATACTAATGGGTGGTGATAATGTGGTTTGCTTCAGAGGTGAATCTCTGATTGTAGTATATGTTGTATCATTTGTTGTACTTGTTTGTTCGGTAAGTTGTATTTGTGTGTTTGTTTGGGTTAGAGGTGGAGATATTACAGTATGTTGTGTACCGTGTTGTGAGCGAGTACTGTTGTTTACATGTATACGTTGTGGATCATTTCTGTATGTAGTATCTTGTGTTATGTTTAGAAATTTACGAACAATATGGCATGTGTTGATAATGACTGCTTTTTGTAAATGTTTGTATGTGTTTTTGTCTAAACCTAATAGTTGTAAATTGTAGTGTATTGTCTTTGGTATAACTCCAGTAGCACTAAGAATAATGGGAACTATAACAGTAGATTTCATTCTCCATTGCGTCTTAAGCTCGATATTATTATTATTATTATTATTACATTCCATAGAAAAGCAATGTAATCAAGGAGATGCATTCTTAAACGTCTGTCCGTGTTTCGTTTTTTTCAATATACTTATTATTTCCGTTGTTGTAATTGTGCTGGATACTTAGTACAAGATTCAAAGAACCCCTTTTGCAGTAAACATTTCAGCTAAAGGAGGTATCTTAAGCAAAACGAGAAAGTGAAAGGTAAAGTAAATAGAGAACCGACAGGGCGACAGAGCTAGTCGCCGCGCCGGCACAATTAACTTTATTTTTTTATATTTTTATGATACAGTTTTCTGGTTGCAATTTCACCTTTAAGAAAAAAGCAAGGTAAAATCAATATAATAATAATAATATAATAATAAAGTTTATTTGAGCCTTGAATTAAAACAAATTAAAACATAAGAATATAGAATAAAGCAAGAAAAAAGAAAAAGTAGCTCAAAACAAGTTAAAAAGTAATCGTAAACGATTTACATAAAGCGCATTTCCACTTGCATTCATTTCCCATTTGTAAGATGCAACTTCTGTTAAAATCGTAAAAATCCGGCCACAAATATGAAAGATAGCGTTGCACATGGGCAATCCATTTTTGACGTGCTACTTCAATTTCAGTTTATGAGAAGAATTTCATTTCAATGCTTTTCTAAATAAGAAAGTTGGAACTGCGCATGCGCAAACCTAAATTTTAAAACTAATGTTAGATTTTCCTTTATCCCAAGTGCCTATGTATCAAATTCGTTAAATTCTTCCATAAATAAAAAAGTTGGCACTGCGCATGCGCAAAACCAAATTTTGAAATTGGCGTTTGATTTTCCTTTATCCCAAGTGCCTATGTATCAAATTTCGTTTAAATTCTTCCATAAATAAAAAAGTTGGCACTGCGCATGCGCAAAACCAAATTTTGAAATTGGCGTTTGATTTTCCTTTTTTCCAAGTGCCTATGTATCAAATTTCATTCAAATACTTTTATAAGTAAAAAAGTTTGCAATTCGGTTTATAAATGGTCGAGATGCGGAAAGGGCACTGTGAATTTTGAATCGATTCGATTCAACTTTTGGCATTGCGTATTATATGGCTAAAGCTATGCCCATATTGAATTTCATGCAATTCAGTTCATAACTAACGGAGATGTAAAAGCGATCGAACATTTCTAAACAAAGTTATCGTTCACACGGACAGATAGATGGACAGACAGACAAAGGAACAGACGGACAGACCAACCGGCAGGCGACAGATAGCAATGCAAAATTTTAAACGATCTCTAGGATCGTTAATAAACTGCAAAAGTGAAAAATTATGGAACATGTAAAAACGGTTTTTTGTTTTTTTTACAATAACTTTTTTTGTAAGCGGTACAAAAAAAATTCCTTCCTTGGTACAAGACTCGACACCATAACGAACCAAATAGCGGAAAAAGTTGAACAATAGCTCTTAAGATAAAGAACTAGTACCGTCGCAAAACGAGCGGACGGACGGACGGACAAAGTGGCCACAATAGCGCATTTTTTTTTATTTTTGTGGAAATGCGCTAAAAAGGAATGAATTCGGCAATTCCGTTTTCAATTCACCCTTTAAAAACCAAAAAGAGAAAAAAATCGCCTTACAAAACTAAATATTATTGCTTAGATAAAGTTCTTTTGTCGATTTTGAAAACTGTAAATTCATGTTAAGTTTATCCAACCTACAATTTAACAGGGACGGTGCCACATAAGCGAAAGTGTATGTGTATTTGTACCGAAAGACCGGTAGGTACAGTGCACAGCAAATTTCTCTCCATGTTCGTTATCTGGTCAAGGAAGTTTTTTTTGCATTTTCAAAAACTAATTTAATTTGAGATTAGTGATTTTTAATGTTCAAAAAACCCCAGATACCAAACTTCGTCGAAATCAGAATTTTTTTTCACCACTTTGTTTAGGGTCACTCCCAAACGAAACAAGTTGGGCACTTTTTTTACATACTTAACACCCTGTATAATCAGCCCACAATTTTTATGACGCCTTGTATTTGACGGTAAACACTAATTATAAAACTGTGATTGAGATTTCATTGTGCACTGTCATGTTTCGTCCTCCATTGACTTTTAATCTCTCCGAGGGGAAAAGTGACACCTATTATTCCCTTAAATGTAAGACTAAGACGTTGATTTGGCCCACAGAATACAAAAAAAATATATATTCAAATCCCACATTTGCAAAGTTAATTGAAGTATAATTGGCTTGGCTCCATATATTGGTACGCAGATTCAAAGGCAATTAGATATACAGCGGAGATTGATTTTCATTCATTTATGTGTGCTGCTAAAGTTACTACTGCCTATAGGTACATACATATATATACGTTACAATTTGTAATATTGAAATCATGTGTATTGTGTATGCAGATTACATTTGTAATATGGATAATTGAATTGAAGTTCCGCAATTGATAATAGGTTATTGATTGTATATATTTAGAACTTCTCTATGCTATGCAATACGAATTAACAGAACATCGGACATTGTGGGCCAACAAGTCGTGACCATGCGATATACCAAATCACAAAATTCTTAATTCATCAAAACGTGACAAATAAATTTAAAATGTTGCATTAAGATTATGATGGTTGATGGTTCCTGCTTAGAGAAGGAAAGATCATAGTCTAAGGGTTCCTATATGTGTTAACTAATGTTTGATTTGTATATAGGGTCGCTGATAAGTTGACTATCGGGGAAAATAAAATATACAAGGTATCAGTTTTATACAAAAGATTTGAGGTTCTTTAATGTCTACTAAGCAGTAATAATATTAATTATACACGGTTGGTCATTAAAGCATGGCAGACTAATATTGCATTTTTTTAATATAGAACACCCAGTATATTACTCGATATTACAATTTTTCTCTTTTGAGCATAATTTGTACCCAAATGCAATCATTTCCTAGTTATCGAGTTTTGAAAATAAAACATATTTCGATATCTCGTATATTTTCGCCGTAAATCTTCCGTTTCCAGACTTATCAGCGACCCTGTATAATGGAACCTTTTTTACTCTATAAATAACAAAAAAAATCAAGAAATCACAATAAAACTTGAATAAAAAGTGTTTCAACAGAAGAACTGTCATCAACGAACAACTAAAACTACAAATCTTGGATTTTATAAGTAAAAGTGAGCTTACGAGGTCTGACAGGCCTCTCTTATAACTATAGGGTTTGATTTTGCTCATTTCCAAACCTTCATAACAATCCAACTCAATTTTACAATTTCTCAAGTAGGGCGATAATCAGCCCTGTGATGTACCACAAACGTTAAACTTAAACTTAAAGTGCAGGTTATCTATACATCAAAACGTTATTTTACCCATACTAAATAACGCAAAGTACCTAACGTTTTTTGGCAGACCTCCACGTTAAGTTTAACGTTTCTGATACATAACACGGCTAATTACCTAATCTATGGCTATTCAAGTAGGTATATTTGCGGCAACTCTAGGTTTGTCCTAACTCAAATGCACCGTGCGTTCTAGAATGTTATGGTAGCTGTGCTTTTCTTCAAGAATGAATGCAGGATTGTTGGTTGCTCATAAATTCGTATAGTTTGACATCAACTGCCAGTATATGTCACGCCCGAATAAAAACACAACGCGAACAATTGTTTTGAAAAAAAAAAGATTTTAAATTGTAAAAACACACAGCAATGCTAAAAGTACGCAAATTAAAACTGAAAGATGTCGTGTAATAATTTTTGCAATTATGAGTCATACGTTTTCACCCAAAGGCCAAAACTATCAAACACATGACATGGGCAGAACAATTACAATGGACACCCATAGTTTAAAGTAAGCCATGTATTGTTTAGAAAAATTTGGTATGATATTTCGCTTACGTGATATTGTAACGGGAGCCCGTTGACGGATTCTATTTGATTGAAAGTTTACTTTTTTTTTTAAATTTTATATTGATATTTCGTGCCATTTACCTGTGTGGGGTAGGGAAAAAGTAATGCTACCGCAGAACGCAACGGTACTTCTAGTATGGTCCGAAATCTTTTCGATTTTGTAAATATATTAACCGTGTAGGGACTGGAAAGAATAACTCTACCGCAGGGGGCTTTGCGAGTAGTAGGAGGTGATTGAACAACAGCAAGTTAGCTGCAACCCTAGCGCTGGAAGTTGAAGGGTGGAGGGTGTTTGTGATTTGGTGCTACTTAATAATAATCAAGAAAAATTCACTGGAGGATTCACTAATTACGTTGTAACGGTCCTAATAGTTACAGGCTTCCCTTGGCCTATTGGTAACCCAAGGACCTCCAAAAATCTCCCTTTCCTAAACCTCCTTTTGTTCACCCATACAAACTGTATGGTTGGTTGCCTATGGTTCAGGTTCACCGGGAGTTATGCTGAGTAGCTCTACAGCCGGAGATATCAGGTCCCCACTTTTAATAAACTAAACCTTGTTATAATACAAGAAAATATAATTAAACAAATAATATGTACACGAGATAAATATTTACAAAATAACTAAACTAAATAAACTGGTTGAACGCGACCCAAGTAGAATTTGTCAAACGGGTCCGTTGACATTCCTTGGTCGTTTTGTTTATCTACAATTTAATCGGGTTAACCTTCAATATAAACAACCGGCAGGTAGTTTCAAAGACAATTAATGATATGATTTAACTTTACACGGGATCAATACAAATCAAGTAAGTTACGTTATAAGACCAACTAAAACTTTATCGGGGGTATATTACAGGAAGGCTGGTTCCGGGCGAGCGCGAATTTACATTCGCAGCGTCTACCGAAATTTTACAACAGGTATATTTTAATTCACTGACGGTAACTGGGGGTAACTGGGAAAGAGCACGATCCTACAATCGCAGACTCTAATTCAGGGACAGGTAATTTCAATTAATGGCACTGCTATACAGCCACGTTTAATTCAGGGACGGTAACTGGGGTTTGAGACACGGTCCTACAACCGTCATCTCTAATTCAGGGACAGGTAACTGGTGAGATTCACGTACGGTAACGGGGAAAGAGCAAGGTCCTACAACCGCCGACTCTTAATTCAGGGACAGGTAACGGGTGAGGGTGAGATTGAGAGCGGTGTTACAACCGCCACTCCGGGAATGGGACTGTGGTGCTTAGGACCAGGGCAAAGATATAAGACCTCAGACCCAAGACCTACTTTCTGGTTTGGTTTCTACTTTTATATCGTTTGGAAGGAAGTGGGAATGTAATGGTGATGGTAATGTTACTGGTGGGAATGTCAAGCATGACGTCTCCCAAACTACCGCCCTCTCCTGATAGAAATTTAGATTAATTTCAGATTCCTACAGGAGTCAAATTACAAATTAATCTTATTAAATTTCACATCATTACAACGTAATTATGCACCTATCCCAAATACATGCAGAATCGAATATTATAGGGACGGTTTCGTTCATATTTACTAGGTACATTAACCTTTTAAGGACGGCCGACGGCTTTATACGGCAATAGTAAATTTGTCTGACAGACTGTAGTCGGATATAGCCGACACCAGGTTCTACATTGCCTCTGCACTGGTGCCGTCTATATCCGACACTGTAGAAAAAGTGTTGGGCTCCACAGACGACTGACGCGTTATTCCGACACAAAAAATGGATGTTGTACCGCCGAGTGTCGGTTGAACCCGTCGTGTCGGATATATCCGACACTCGTCTGCTAGCTATATCATGGGTAGTACTGGCGTATAGGTTATGTTATGATGGCAGAAGACGGAATTGCCGGCCCTTCCAGGCCTAAAAGAAGCAAAGTACAGTTGAATAATTATTGTGGATTAGATCCTAAAGAAGCTGCTCACCTTCTGCAGCTTCTGAGTGATGAAAACAGTGACAATGAACTCGAAGAACCGTTTGCGGACAGTGGTAGTGAATATGAATTGGAAAGTGAATCGGAAGAATCAGCTGACGAGGAAAATATCATAGATGAAGACATCGTGGATGAAGCCAATGAAATACCTAATGATATTAGAGATGACGATGATTCCCAAGAAGGTAATCCAGGTGGTAATGAAACGGATCACAGTGACATCAACATTACATGGACAAAAAATAATTTCCAACCTATATTACATACATTCAACAGCAGTTACAGCGGAATACAGGGAGACGTCCTCAATCAAGCTTCTAAAGAGATTGATTATTTTTTCAATCTTATTACCGAGGATGTAACTGATCTGATAATTACTGAAACCAACCGGTATGCACGACAGCAAGATGAGAAAAAATGGAAGGATATAGACTTGCCTGAGCTGTCTATTTTTTTGGCTTTGACAATGCTAATGTCACGGAATAAAAAACTTGATATGAAGGAATATTGGTCAAAAGATCCGTTGCTAAATTCTCCAATATTTGGTAAGCAAATGCCCAGGGATAGGTATTTACAAATCAAGAGATGTCTGCATTTCGCAGACAATGAAAATGCGCCAACTAACAACCGTCTATACAAAATAGAGACGCTGCTACAAATGATCAAAAAGAGACTTGCAGATCTCTTCCATCCGTTCCAAGACCTTGTCATTGACGAGAGTATGGTTCTATTCAAAGGACGACTTAGTTTCAAACAATATATAAAGACCAAACGACATCGCTTTGGCATCAAACTTTATGTTCTGTGTGATTGTGAAACGGGGATAGTTCAGGACTTCGTGGTTTATATTGGACAGCAAACCAACATTCAGGTAAGAGACGTGAAGGGACTTGGTTCTTCTGGGTCAGTGGTCGCCGCTTTGATGGATCCGTACTTACACAAAGGACATTCGCTCTTCACAGACAATTATTATAGTAGTCCGATACTCTCTACTTATCTTCATGAAAATGAAACTAACTCAAGTGGCACTGTTCGAGCAAACAGGAAACACATGCCTGTCCTCAACTCAAAACTGAAGAAAGGAGATATTGATTGGAGATGCAGTGACAAAATTCTGGTGATGAAGTGGAAAGATCGAAGAGATGTCTCCATGATAACCACTATGCACGAAAATAAAATGGTCAATCTTGACAAAGTGGACAAGGTCACTGGAGAACCAGTCAAGAAGCCATTATGTGTGGTGGACTATAATGGGAAAATGGGAGCTGTTGACCGGTCTGACATGATGATAAGTAGCATAGAATGCATGCGTAAAAGCAATAAGTGGTACAAAAAGCTATTTTATCATGTCATGGACATTTGTATGCTGAATTCCCATGCGATGTATTCACTTATAAATCCAGAAAAGGTTCCTCTGGCTAAATTCCAACTGAACCTTATTCGACAGATTCTCGAGAAGTAAGTTTCTTGTTTTATAATAGCAAGTAATATTGATTATGTTTTACTTTTGCTACAGATATTCTGCGACCCCCATTGTCGCTCCACAGCATGTTCGTGGATTGGATGTGGCGAGGCTTACAGGGAGGCATTTTCCAGTTTTGGTGCCAGACACACCAAAAAGCAAAAACCCCTTGAGGAGATGTATAGTATGTTCGCAGACGAAACTTGCACCGAAAAAAAGGAAGGAGTCCAGATACATGTGCAAAGATTGCGATGTTGGTTTGTGTGTGGTGCCATGTTTCGCTACATATCATACAATGTCAAAGTTTTGAATTGGTTGTGCAATAAAAATTAATCTAAATGATTATTGTGGTGTTATATTGCTTATTTATTGTAATTTTTACGCAGAATAATTGATCCTGAATGAAAAAGATAAGTGTCGGATATACCCGTCAGCTGGCCACACGCCACGCTATATTTCGCCGTCTGGGGGTTGAGCACGTAAGAAATTCGTCAGTCCTTAAAGGGTTAAGCTTCTTACAAATTTTGCTTAACATTTGTGAAAAGAATTGAAATGTCAAATATACAGGGTGGTTCTTTTTAAAAAATGCAATTTTGGTGTGTCATCCTGTTTAATTAAGACTATTATTGCCTAGTAGACATTGAGGAACCCCAAAACTTTTGTATAACACATTTTTCGGTATCAATATATTTTCCCCGATAATCGACAGTTGCCAGAGCCCAGATTTATCAGCGACCCTCTCTAGTGACCGCTAAAATAGCATTACTGTTTCTATTCTGAGAAGGCCTTACTCTGTGTGTGGACATAAAACCGTGCTAAGTTATCAACGGCTCAATGCTCATGATAGAAAGAGAAAACCATAGCAAACTAGAACCAAAACAATTATTTAACGTTCGTGACGATCTAACCCACACAGACACTTAACAACCTAGCAACCAAACTCTCATAGTCTGCTGATATTAGCGTCAGCAATGGAGAAAAAAGATTAAAACAATGATACTTACGCATATCAACAAATTTATATCCTATTAAAAACGCTTGTTTGAAAGTTACCAAACCAAATAGATACGTATCCGTGCGCAATTAAGGTAACATAATTTGCACAAAAAAACTATAAATCTCACTAACCATTGTTCTCATTAAGCTTCAATAAATTACAGTAATTGTTATCTGAAGTTCGAGTAAATAAATTTTTAGTTCCCTATTCGAACCCATTTCCACGTGTCTGAACGACGTGAACCTTTTGACTCTTACACTGCACTATTGATTACTAATTAATTAAAACTATACGTCCTACCAGCAAACCATTATTGTGGTATTATGTGCCGTTCTTGTCTTTGAAGAATCATTCACAGACACTGTGTTCAAGATAAGGATGTCTATCATGGGTATCTCGGAAACCATCGAAGATACGAAGATGGTCAAATTAAGAAAAATTAAAGAGTTTGTCATGCTTTAAGGAAAACCAGAAAATTCCGATTACTTCCGAAGATATGCTAGAAAAACTGAAATTTGCCGATTTTCGTTTTTTATGGTATTTTTTGAAGATAGAAAATTAAAAAAAAAACACTTTCGTTGCCACTATTTGAACTCTACAAGACAGAAAGAGATTTTCAATACAATGTTTCGCTTCGGAGAAATCGCCAACTTTAATTTTATATGACCCGTAAAAAAAGTTGGTACTTACCTCCTGTATTGAGTATGCATTGTTATTACGAATACAACGATATACGGCACACAAAAAAAAGTTGGAAACTGTTGGTTTCAACATGATGGTGCACCCGCGCACAACGCCTTCGTGTGAGGATACATATCGGACATATTTTCCATTTTCCAAGAAATTTGTTCATGTGTGGAAAGTATAGTGCGATTTGTCCAGCAACTCCAGCCGACGCGACGGCAGTTGAACTTGTGCCAATAAAAGTAAATTAAAAATGCTTTTTAGCGCATTTTTTAAGAAATAAAAAAAGTGCTATTGTTTGCGTTTTGTCCGTCTGTCGGGACCCACTTTTGCGGTTTTGAACTAATTTTAGGGAAATGGTCCTAGTGTCCTGGAATTTTTTGCAACGTCTCAAGGGGGGGGGGGGCATGAATTTCCCGAGATGCTGTTTTTGAATGTAACACGTTCATAGCTTTTACATGCCACAACCAACTGGTCTCAGAATTTGCATACGCACGCCTTCAATAAATTTTTGAAAAGTGGTGGGGGTCATCACACGTTCTACCCTTCATGGTATTCTAATGAAAGGGCTCACCGAAATGAATTGGTTTGTCAAACTATAACTTTCCTGCGCGACTCCTTTGCGAGATCAGTAGGAGGCCGAGTGGAGGAGGGAGAGGGTAGAAATTTATTTTATGCTTCATATGGTATTCCAAAAGGTACTATTGTCTACCAACTACCGTCCTATTTCCCGACTCCTTATCAAAAGGGGTACTCTAATGAAAGGTCGTGCCGTCTGTGACTCAGAAATGAGTCAATTTGTGATTCCAATTGTTTTACCTAACGCCTTATTTGGCTCCGCCAGCCTGTACCCATAACTAAACTATCTGGCTGGAGACAAATTTTCAACGAACGACGAGATGCGGGTGAACACCTATTTTGGGTTGAAAAAAAAACTGCTTTAAATTGCGTTAAAATGCGTACAAATCTATAACGGAGTGCAAGACTCTTCAAGAATTTAAGCAAAATTGTGGGATGCAATATCCATAAGGCCACAGAATGTAATGTCCAGTGTTGCGGCACACACACACATAATGCTCGTTTGAAAGACGCGGCTATGTCTCGACTGTCGATAGTGTCGTTCGCCTCCCTACATGTTTTTGGCCAGTCGAGACGTGGCCGTTGACAGCATCAACAAATGCATCTTCAAGACAAGTTGTACCAATGCAATCATTTTCACATTTTTCACCGGCCAATTAACAGTGCATCACAGTTGGAAGTTGCGCCAGGGGCCAGGCCGCAAACGAAATTCAACCTTTAGACCTCATGTTTCAGAACCTTCTTTTAATGAGATTGCTAAATTTTTTTGTTCAGATTATGCAAGTTGGAAAAAGTTCAAGGAAACACTTCATGCGTTATAAACGTCGCCGACAATAATTTTATGGCTATACCTACCACTATCTCCTATTTTTTGTTACTGCAACTCTTGTTTCCACTCGGATTACCTAAGTAGATATAAAAGGGTAAGATGAATGGAAAAAAAGTAAACACATAAAATGGAGAGAGCTTTACTTGTGTAACACAGCTGACATGACATGTAGTTCCTATACATACACGGGGCTGAGTATTACACCGACAGATATATGAAATTATATACAAGATGTATCAGTACTGAGAAAAGAGCACAGACCGCCTCCAGGGCGGCTACGCGTCGCGGTGTCACTCCTCTACGGTAAGGCATGTCAAGGGTATACGGAAAGGCCAAAACTTAATATACGTACACTCCCAGGAACTGCAGGGACAGGCTGCAAGCCCGAAGATTATCAGTCAAGCAATGCAAACATAACAAACGCCGCGGCCAGCCGCGGAAAAGGGAGTGAGCAAAGGGGGCAGAGGCGCCCGCGCCTCATTGCCGCACGCGCCACCATTGCTGCACCTTTTCGGTGAGCTTCCTACAGAGGCCCAGCAGCCTCCGTCACATTGGGGCTTCGGCTTCTGCCTCGCCCTCCTCAAGTGTAACTTGAAATCGAATGCCGGGTCTCTGCGGGTCCGGGACATCTTCGGACGGTGGACTGGGCGGGATCATACCTTGATACCAATCCCGGTTTTCCTCCAACGTGTCCAAAATATCTTGCGCGTCTGGATGGACCAAATCCGCCCACGTCTCCCACAAGGGATGTACGATATAATCGATGAAGCCAACCTGGGTCTTTTCTACAGTCGCCGAGTGTCGGTCACACATGGGACTGATCTCCATTTTAGCTTCTCTTTCTCGATCACCCTGCAGGAAAAACTCTTCCATGAGCAGATCGACCCATCTACGGTAGAGTGGGAGAGGTTTGGTAGGATTGCTCAAGTCTGCGCAATGCACCAGGTTTTCTAATACTTGTATTCTATCAGTGTAGTTATCTAACAGAAGCACTCCAGAACCGGCCACTTTTTTGGTTTCGACCATGGTCTTCAAATCAGCAAGAAGGCTCATATGCTTCGACATATCCGTACTCAGCACCATATCGATGACCATTTTACGGAGGGTTTGTCGTTGCTTTTTGCTCATGTTACAAAACATATCGCAACCTTCATTTTGGAGTAACTTAAACGCTACCGCTAAATGATGATTTTCGAGCACGCTTTCGTCATTATACATTAGCGCCAGCTCCGAACTAGAGTTTATAAGAAACTGATTGGTGAGTCCTGGATGATCAACATCGTGGACACAGGCGGCGAAAAGGGCGGCTGTGATTTCTAACGGAGTGAAGACTGATTCTAATGCGGGGGTATTAAGCAACACGTGAGTACTTTGAGCGACATCGGCCGCATGTAGGGAGTTGTGGAAGGGGTTATCTTTAACGTAATGATCTTCTAATGTCATCATAAATGTTATAAAAGTCTTTTGTGGTATGTTCAAATGTTTAAGTAGCTCACGGGACGTAAACGTTGTGTACGCAACGCAAGTCAATGGTCGTCCGTTACTAAGTTCTTGAATGCGGAACATATCCACTCCCCATCTGTCTATTTCAGCTAAACACTTTCCTAATTCTTCTTCGTGGGGTGTTTCAACGCCATATACTGGCAATCGTTCGCCGGTGAATGAATTGGTGTGACAGAGCGATTTGCGATTGACTCCCGATATTTGCGACATCGGTGTTGGTACGGATCTCGGGCGATCCTTACGCGGCACACCTTTGGGTTGTACAGCTTCATTGCCTTCTTCTAGTCTCACGGCGGGGATTGGTATATCTAATTCCTGTTGTTTATCTGCAAAGAAACGCATTGTTAGCGATCAATTTAAAATGTTGGTCACCTTGCGGGTGGTCATGGTTAAGGTTACTTTTTCGATTTCCTTGTGGCCCTCAAAGTTATGTCTATATTACGTAACGTAGCCGTTACATAATTACTTAAGTCCAGGATGAAAAATATTGGGAGGAACGCGCCCGAATGAAAGTAGAAACTCTATTCTAGTTCCATTCGCGGCGCAGTGAAAGTGTAACTATTAGTTAAAAAAAATATTTAAATTTCGACTTACCTAAGAAGGTCGAGCAGATATATTCTGATATTTGGTTTCCCGATTTGCTAGACTCGGAAAAGTGCGACAGTTCCTTGTTTAGCATGCGCTTGAACTGTAACAAAAGAAAATTGCGTTAAGATTTTGTCTTAATATGGAGATCAAAGTAAATCCTACACAGTCCTTAATAAGAATTGACACAAAGAGAAATGGCTCTGTTTAGACCTTTACACATGACATCCCACGATCGAATTAATTAATTAAAGTACACTGTTCCTTTTAGGATTTCAGACAATCTATCACAGCGACTGGAACGTATGTCTACTAATTACAGTTATCGCCTTTGTAGGTAATTAATGAGGTAGTTTTGTTTAAGGAGTTATGTAAATTCGTCTAATAAATATTAAAGGTTTTGAAATAGTCTTCGATTCAAGGCTTATATAGGCTGTAAAGTTGAAGGTGCAATGAAGTGATAATCCAATCTAAATGTGTAGTTTTCCATTTTAGCGATCGCAATTCGCGACAGTAGATTGTAATTACATTTGTAATTATCATAGAGGTATGAAGAAGCAATATCATAAAACTGGCCCATTAACAAAATGAATAAAATTTGCATGCTCGGTCGTCAATTGAACATAAAATTACGATTGTATTGTTGCGATGCCGAATTCAAAAAAGGCCCCCTTACCTTCAACTCGGCGACAGCCGCTGTTAAAGCGATATCCGACATAATGCTAACCCATGGCAAATTTTCGAAAAGATTTTCCGAATCCGGGGGTATCCGCGAAATGCATTCGTCTTCCTTAGATAAACTTCTTTTCAACATTTTTCTACGGTTTCCTTCAATTTCGTTGGTTACTACCATTTTATCACGTATACAATTTTTAATTAGAACAAAAACTATCGACACAATCACTACATAATCTCGACACGCTCGCGATGAGATCTGAAACGGTACTACAACGAACCGTACTGCTTCTCTACTCGTTAAGTAATGCTCGTGCGAAAATTCACGATTTCTTAAATAGCTCTCGTAATATTTCCACCACCCACAGTTTCTCTTTTTATTAAGTACCGTGAATCCGTGGCGCTCAGACTCAGTTGATTCACACAATAGTAATGTGTCACATTTCGTGGTGCCCACAATTATATATCTGTCACAATCTAAATTGGTACAGATAAACGGATTTACGTATGCTTATTTAAATATTGAAACAGGTATAGATAAAAGATAAGCTACGTTTTTTTTTACTACCACAGACGCATCGAAAAAAATACTTTGAACCAATTTCGACATTGCCCATATTTCTTCAAAGGATACCCGTCATCTTTGTAAATCATACGCGATTCAGGCTTCAAAGAATTTTGCCAACCGAATTTTCGGGCCGAAATTAATTTTAGCTCAAGTTCGTTGCTTTAAATTTAGGTGGAATGTTTGAAATACATTCGTTTCCTTGAATTCTTGATCAAAACCATTGTGGTTATTGTGCATAATTATAGCGGTTTCTCTGTAACTTATTTGAGACGAAATTCCAGTAGTTCACAGTTCATATCTAAACTTTGTATATAGGTACCTACGTGAAATTACTGTTCTTTTGAATGGAGAAATTTTTATGGTGAAACGTTGACAGGTAAATATGCAGTGTCGCACGTAGAAACGATTCATTGAAGAGATTAGCGTTTCCAAAGGTTTTGCGTTGCATAACGCACGCAGGTAAGTACTACGACGAATGTTTCAAAACGAGGAGTAGGTGGAAGAGCAAACTGCCACGGTAAATCCCAAACTTTGTTTTTCATCATTTACAGACAATTTGCAGAAAAAAGTAATGTTCATAAAGCTGAAGAAAAGTCCAAAGGCTAAACGTGAAAAACATAAACAGAATTACTTTCTCCATTGGGGTGCAGATTTATATTCGCTGAAACGTAGCGCGTTCAGAGGCAACTTTTTCCCAAAATTCTCAGAAAAGTGTAAAATTATTCACATTTGGAAAATATGGAAACAGCACGATATTCCGTACCTGCAACACAGGTGCAGTTTTCTGGACAAGTGCTGACCACGAGTCACGTGGTTCTCAAGCTATTACAATGGCATTTGACAAAAAAAAACGTTGACATATTTAACAGAACGGCATCAAGGTCAATAGTGCCCATTAAAGATAGAACAAGATATGATGTACTTAACGAACCTATTAACCGGCGTTTTGGGACCACACGTCATTTTGTTATTAGTTTAGCGTTGCGTACGAAAATGTAGTTTGTGATGTGTTCAGTTCATTGTTGTTGCAATATTCAAAAAGGAGACAAAAATTTTAATCGGCTCAAAAAAGGACCAATATCTTGATAACCCCTTTTTGGTCAAACATCGACTTCTCAAGACTCTACTAACGTGGGTTTATTTTGAACAAACCTTGCCAAAAATAGGTACCTATTTTACGCTCTTCAGCTATGCGGTGTAATATACCTTCGACTTTGGGTACTGTTTATTTTATGCTGTACAAAATCGTGTAGATTACTATATGTTTATGTTTGTTGAGGGTTACCACACACTATCAAGTGTGAGCGTAGATCATATATTAACTACGGATTTAATGTGGTAAAAGGTAGCGATATATAAATTTTAACGATTTTCATTTTTGATAAGGTTTTTAGATTGTTATAATACGGCACATCTAAAACACAAATAACTCTTTTTCACTCCGAACACTTCCTCCATTCGTGTCGCAATCGTACACCTTCTGAATAATAAGCGTCATAACATGCTCTTAATACTATCAAAGGAGATGTGCAAGAATTTTAGATTGGAATTAAAAAAAGCAGTATTAAATAAGTACCGTATCGACAGTACCCGCGATTTTTCCTTAACCTACCGATCACGGCCGAGTACGGTACACCGTACAATCGTCACTTGATGCGCCGTGGATCGATTTGAAACTTATCAGTATAGCAAACACGTGCCCATTCATCACAAACATATTTATGCCAGGAATCTCAGTTTTCCCGACAGTTGGTCTGCGTCGTTATTCGCCATGCTATAGCGTGCGTACTGTGCTCATATACGAAAACATAAACATTTCCAATGTTAAAAAATCGGCCTTCAGGATTCGAATATAACTTATTTTCTTATCGTATAAACGTCCCGATGTCGAAATTCCACACCCATCGAGGGAGGAGGCCCGACATGATCGCGCAAGACACTTAAAAAAATTTCGCCCTCTACTCCTTAAACCCTAAAAGAAAAGAAAGAGAAATGAGGAAATTATCGGTGACGTATCGTCGGAAGTATATAAGCGAAGTAGTAAAACTTTAACTAGGAACTGAGGTTTCGTTTTCGAGAGAGTGCATATTTCGCCCTGTTGTTCCCTTCTCGTTTCCCGCCGCTTCGCAAAAAATTTCGACCCATAGCGTCGGAAGCGGCATCGAACGACGAAGTTAAAAAAATCCCTACGCCCTTACCCCTACGCATCGTGGAAAAACGGTTATTTATTTATCGTATGGGAGGCACTTCCGAACGACAGCCGTGGTATGTTTGCCGGGACCGCCAGCTTTACATGCCCTCCCTGTGCCACCAAAAACTTTCAAGTTGTGGGATTCGAGCTCACCAAGTGTGAAAAACGGTAGAGGCAGCGGTTTCGCTACCCGGCGCGTTCGAAAAGTAACGTACCTCCCCAATTCCGAAACTCCTTTCCTAGTTTTCTCCGAACAAAAACCTTTTCACCAAAAGCAACGACGTGATTCGAAAAATCCACCACGCGATCCGTGCACGGGACTAACCGCGAACAACGTTTCTTTAGTCTCCCTCCCTTTGCTCTGAACTTACGACTTCAGAGAAAAAGGTCATCACCCGGGGATTTCGTGTCCTCTCCCTGCCTCCTAGGGCGCAAACAAATTTGAGAAGTGCGCACCCCTAAAGGTCATGGAGTGCTAAGTACCGACCCCTTGGGTTATAGCTTTCGCCTCTAGGTCCCAAGACGTGATCTTGCCCGTACAGCTCCTTCCTCCGCAGGGGGTGACAAAAATTCCTTCTGTTGCATTCGCCCCCCCCCCCCCCTCTTAGCCGCGGTGGAGTCTTCGCAGATGTTACCGTTTTCAAATTATGAATGAAGCTGAAAAACGCGAAAACGGTGGTTCCACGGAGAAAGCCGGTCGAGTAATTTTCTTCTTTTTCACATGCTTTCATGTACTCTCAGTTGCAATCAGTTTCGCAAATTTAAAAAATCCGTCCTCAGGTGAAAAATATACGCGGGCCGAAGGGTGAGAATCCACCCACCTCGACAGAGGGGTCCGGCGACTACTTGCTGTTGTAAGTCAACCTAACCGCGCACCCCTTCTAGAATTTCGACCCCCTCCCCCATGCTCTGACCTTGATCGAATTTTTAATCTTAAAAAGTACCTGTAAAACTTAGGCTTTTTCGCACGAACGTTGAATGCTGCGTACCTAACGCAAAAACGTAACTCGATACCCCCTCCCCCTTCACCAATTACAGCGTGCGAACTGTACCTGTACGAACCGGACTGCTTTCGACGTTGTTACCTTCCTCAGCCGCCAAAATTTAAATCTACATGCAGCTATGGCATAAGAAATAGTAGTTGCAGAAAAACTGTTTTTCACACTTTCTGATTGTTAACTTTGAAAAATCGCAGCAGCCCTGGAAACTTTTTCAAGACTTTACGCGATCCCCCAAAAAATTCCTTCCACTTCAAGGATTCGATTACCTATAAAAAAGAGCACTCACTAATCTGGGACGATTTAAGAGATATGAATTTTTGAATGGACCCATGCATCTTCAAATTTTTAGAGAAAAATTGTCAAATGTCAAAAACTATGACAGATAGGTACTTAAACCAAAGAGTACCCTACTCTTTGCTTAAACCCAGAACAAAACAGAAAATGGTTCTATTAAAATAACTAAGATGGCGCCACTTCCGGTATTTACGCAAGCGGCGCCATCTTGAAATTATTTTATTTCAACACGCAATGGTGGATTATGGCTGTAAACCGACTTTCAAGTTTCTATTTCAACTGCAAGTTTAAAAACTTGCTACGTGAATCACCCTGTATAGTTCTTTGGTGAATACGAAATAAGATGTAAGGAATTTCCATTTTACTTAATATTT